TGCCCTTTGGAGATGTAAATTATTATATATGCCTGAGTGGGTTTTTTTGTTTGTTTTTTAAAAAGCTAAAGTTTATAGAGAGAAATACTGTTAACTGATGGTACATGGAGGTGATTATAATCAATGTAATTAAACAAGGTATATGATTTGTTCAATGTAAAACTGATGATTTACCCTGTCTTCAAAATTTCACTCAATCCACAATAAAAAACTTAAAATAAATAAATAAATAAAATTGAAAAACAAAACAGAGGAAATACAAGCAAATACTATTGAACAATGATGCACAGAGGGAACTGTAATCATTGCAATGAAACAATGAGTGTATAACCAATGTTCTCCCATGTAAACTACTACTCAATTCACAATAAAAACTTAAAAACAAAAACAAAGGGAATGAATATACTTTCCCCATGGATGAATCTTGAAAAGGTTATGCTAAATAAAGTAAATCAATCACAAAAGGAAAAAAAAAAAAAGAAGAAGAAGCACACTATAAGTATCTCTCTGTAAATAAATGGTACAAGGTAGGCTTAGTTTTTATTCTTTCCAGTTCTACATAGTTAAGTAAGAATACTCTAATTTTCAGCTGATTTCCTATAATTACCTTGGATGGCCTGGCATTTACTTTATAATCTATTGAAGACATGACCCATCCTTTTTGAAACAGTTCTCGTGAAAAATTGTAACAATACTAGGAATTATCATTTGGGTTTCCTTACTCTCACGGACTCATAGCATATTAACATAAATTTGAGTTGGATATTATTTTAAGCTTTTACAGTCAGCAGTAGTTTATCAAGCTGCAAGTTTATTTTGTCATTGTTTTAAATTCCTCTTGAATAGAGCCACCTCATATTAATGGATCTGAAGAACCTGAAGAGATATCTGTAATTGTTAATAATCCACTTGAACTTACCTGCACTGCTTCTGGAATCCCAGCTCCTAAAATTATGTGGATGAAAGATGGACGGCCCCTTCTACAGACCGATCAGGTGCAAACTCTGAGAGAAGGGGAGGTTCTACAAATATCTACTGCTCAGGTAAGTGTCAAAGTGCATACAATTACTTTGTCTTAAGTTTCTCTGTTATTCATAAAGTTTTCAGTGACTAAATATTCGTAAGTAGTTCGTCACTCCTTCTTCCTAGTCTGTCTTTGTCTGGAAGCTCATCTGAAACCTGTACTCCATGGGTGACCCTTATGGTATTGAAAATACTGGTGGCATAGCTTCCAGAATCACAGCAACTCACAAGCCACCACAGTGCAACAAACTGACAGACTTCATCTCTCATACTTCGGACGTATTGTCAGGAGGGACCAGTCACTGGAGAAGGGTATCATGTTTGGTAAGGTGGAGGGCCAGAGAAAAAGAGGAAGACCCCTAACGAGATGGATTGGCCAAGTGGCAGCGTTGATGGACTCAAGTGTGGCAACAGTAGTGAGGTTGGCCCAGGATCAGGCAGTTTTCATTCTGTTGTGCATAGGGTTGCTATGAGTCGGCACCGACTCGATGGCACCTGACAAGAAATTAAATTTACCACTTTCTTAAACATGAGAGTATTGGAGAAATTATGCCATCTGAATACAGCACAGAATGTGTAACTTTAGCAAAGGTAGATGAGTTCTATCATATTCATAATTGGTGAGGTACTTATAGGGTGATATGACTGAAAGGAGCTTGAATTCAATTTTATAAGAACTTGTTGACCACATTTCCAACAAGTTCTACGTATTGTGGGGGATATAAATGTATACAAGACATGTCTCAGCCTTAAAAGAAGGTTCCACTTGTCTAGGGGAAATATAACTACATTTATTTCATATTTATATATGAAGCATAAAGAGGACCTTTACATACATTACTGTTGTTGTTAAGTGCCATCGAGTCAGTCTACTCATAGCAACCCTGTATAGCATTTCCTAGGAGCGGCTGGTGAGTTTGAACTGACCTTGTAGTTGAGTGCTTATCGTACAGTGCCACACCAGGACTATAGTGGTGGTGGTGGTTATGTGCTGTGGCGTTGGTTCTGACTCAAAGCAACCTTGTATAGGGTTTCCGATTGATGTGTAAAATTAAATGTGATCAAATCCCAAGACTTGTCTCTATTCATCTTCTTTTTGTTTTCATAGCAGTTTTCACCTACCTGTGAGCTAACACTTGTTGCTTAGTATTTTATATAGCTGAGCTTCATCTTTTTGTATATATATATGAAATATACAGGTAAACCTGGCACTTAATGAATGCCTTCCAAATTCTGACTTGTGAGGCAGAGACTAAATGTAGACAAGTGGAGACGGCAATATTTGTTGACAATTAGCTGAGGTGGTAGAGAATAGATAGTGTTTAGAAGTTTTAAAATAGGATAAGAACATACTTCTGTTAATCAAAGAACTTTTCAAAATAAGAAGATAACTTATAGATTGGGAGAAAATTTTCAGGAATAATATGAAGGGGACTTCAAATGTTTGTGGAAAAATGAAATTAAAAGTTAATGAAACTTTTCCACAAGTTTTTGAAGTCCCTTAATATACTCAATAAGGATCCATCATACAAAATATATATTTAAGACCTCTACAACGTAATAGCAAAAAGACAAACAATCCAGTCAACAAATGGACAAAGGACTTGAATAGATAGTTCACCAAAGATATTCAAATGACCAAAAACACATGAAAATATGGTCAATGTCATTAACCACTGGTGGTGGTGGTAGTGGTTTTGTACTGTTGGGTAGCTTCTGACTTGTAGCGAACCTGTATAGGGTTTCCAAAGCTATAAAGCTTTACAGGAGCAGAAAGCCTCATCATTTTCCTGCAGAATGGCTGGCAGGCTCAAACTCTTGCCCTTGTGGTTCGCAATCTAGTATTTATTGTATGGAGCCTCCATGTGCCCTTCATTAAATAATTGAGAGATATAAAGCAATTAATGTGAAAAATTACAATGAGATATCACCTCATCCCAGCAAGCAAAATGTGTGTTGGAAAAGTTGTTGATAAACTGGAACCCACATCCATGGCAGATGGAATTGCACAACCACTGTGGAAAACAGGTTGGCAGATCCTCAAAGTTGAACATAGAATTACCATATGACTTAGCCATACCAATCCAGACATCTATCCAGAAGAAGTAATGGCAGAAAGGCAAGCAGAGTCTGTCCATCAGTGCTCATTGCAGCACTTTTCACAATAGCCTAGAGGTGGAGGCAACCAAAATTCCCCTCAACAGATGAGTGGAATACAAAATGTAGTAAATACAAGTACACACAATGGAATGCAATTCATCCATAAAGAGAAATGAAGTCCTGATACAAGCCACAGCATAGATGAACCCTGAAAACAAAATTCTAAGTAAAATATTCCACTACTGTTGAGTCGATCCCAACACAGAGGCACCCTGTAGGATAGAATAGAATTGCTCTCTAGGGTGTCTGAGAATGTAAATCTTAATGGAAGCAGAGTGTCTCATCTCTCACAAAAGGACAAATACTGCATAATCTCATATATAGGAAATAAGCAAATATATAGAAACCAAAGATTGCAAGTAGTTACCGAGGGTATGAGGAAGTAGAGAAGGGGTAGTTTTTGCATAGGGGGCATTAAGTTTATTGATGGAAATACTATGTTAATTGTATAGCAAGAATGATGGCCCAACTTTAAGACTGTAATCAATGTTAGTGAATTGTACATGTAGAATTGTCAAGATGTTTTGTTATGTATGTTTTCACCACAATTGTAAAATATAATGAAATATTCAGAATTGTTCTCTAGGCAATAGTGCATCATTTTAAAATCATAAATGAAGGAGTATATTAGACCAGGTTTTCTAAAATTGTATTTATTTTTCCAAAAATTTTAGTCTTAATTTGTTGGCGTTTTTACACTCATTGAAAAGTTTTTGTCATAACCTGTAAAGTCAATCTTCAATGCAAGAATTAAACATTTTTTTAATTCCCCATATCCTTGGGATAAACAAGTATTTTAAAAAAGAAAACAGAATTTTTATACTATATAACATCAAACATATAGATTAAAGTTGCCATTTTCAATAGAAACTATGCATGTGGGTTTCTAAAGTAATATTTCTATTTTTAGTCAGACAATAATAGATTCTGCTGTCAATCTAACTCTATTTATAGTCAAATTACATTATAACCCTTTCATTCCATGATGTATATCAAAGGTATATTTAAAATGTGGGATTAATGTGCTTTCTTTGAATAATAAAACATTTCATTTGTTTTTATTAATTTAATAAGTACACCTCATTTTATTTAGGAAACATATAATTGTGCTTTTCACTTCATAATTTAACTCATAAAGATTGATTTCTTCAACTAACACTGAGTATGAGTCCTGGTGTGTCATTGTGGGTTAATGCGCCAAACTGCAAAGACATTTGAACTGCAAGGTCAGCAATTCAGGCTCACCAGCTGCTCCTCGGAAACCCTATACAGGTTCGCTATGGGTCGGAACCGACTCAATGGCACTTCACATCAACAACAACATGTAGCCTGCCATGATTCGTAGATACTTTATATAGCTCTATATAGGAGTTCATTAAATACACCTAACAGGCAAGCATTCTGTAATCAAATACTGGAATCTTGTGAATACATAGCTTCACATCAAATAGAAATATCAAGCCACTGGTCACTATCAGATCACTAATCACAAGTGTTAAATCAGTTTATTAAACGGTTAATTATTGTGTTCCTTTAAGGATATTCTGTTGTTGTTGTTCTTGTTGTTTTATTGTGACTTTTGTTCTCAATTGAGATAACTATTGGATTATTATTCTCATCACCAAAACAAATATATTTGGCATTGTTTAATTCATTTGTTTGGGTTTTGTAGGTGGAGGATACAGGAAGATATACCTGTCTGGCATCCAGTCCCGCAGGAGATGATGATAAAGAATATTTAGTGAGAGTGCACGGTAAATTTGGCAAAACATCCTGTAGTCGACACAACTACTTAGAAGCTATACTTTAGGCAAAAGGGGGTAACTCTTTAGCACATCATAAAGATATGTTTATAGATTAGGAAATGTGTATTTTACAAATTGGATTCTTATAGTTGACTGATCAAGTGTTGTTTGAGGATAGTTCAGTTGGGTATTTATTTGTTTTGTTCCAATTTAAAATTAGTATTCATTGATTTTAAACCATGGAATGTAATTATGATAAAAAAACAAAAACCACCCATAACCCCACTATACAGAGATACAGCTTGTAGAATATTTAGCTTTTTCTCTCACTTAACAATAAGGTAAAAATGTTTCCATGTAAGTAAATATATACCTATAATACCATTTTTAATAATTATGTAATATACAATTATATTAATATGCCATAATGTATTTATTTAGTCAGTTCCCTACTTTTGGATGTTTAGATTGTTTCTTCATTTTCATCAATATAAACAATACTGTGATATGAAGGTTCCCCTGGTGGCAGAGTGGGTTAGACAATGGTCTGCTAATGACAAGGTCAGCAGTTCAAACCCACAGCTGCTCTGTGGGAGAAGCTGTCTGCTCCCACAGAGATTAATAGTCTCATAAATGCTATGGAGGGAGTTCTACTCTGTCCTTAGAGGAGTGTGATGAGTCAGAATAAATTCAAAGGCAGTGGGTTTGGTTTGAGACATCCTTGTACATATGTATTGGCCTAGTTCCCAAATTGTTTTATTTGGTTAAATTTCTGTAAGTACACTTGTTTGACTAAGTGTGCACGCACAAACATCACAGTTATATGACTTGAAATTTGTTGCCAAGTAATTTCTAATTACCTATTAGAAATGTTGAGCAATAGAGAGACTCTTACACTGTTTTGACATAGAAATGGTAATTACCGTTCATGGGGAGGAACATTTGAAAAACTAAACATAACATCTCGATTCGTTCTCGTAGTCATGAATTTAAAGTGTCCTTCCCTAATGTGGTGCTGTAGGATAAGCACTGGATTTCTAACCAGAAGGCCATTGGTTCAAACCCACCAACCACTCATTGGAAACTCTATACAAGGTCACTGTGAGTCTGAACCAACTCAGTGGCACTTAACAATAGCAACAACCCCTAATTCCGAGCCCTGGTGTGGTACTGTATGATAAGCATTGGACTTCTAACAACAGGGTTGGCAGTTCAAACCCACCAACTGCTTCTCAAAAACCCTACACAAGGTTGCTATGAATTAGAACTGACTCAAAAGCACTTAACAACAACAACCACCCCTAATACAAAGGAACCCAGCTAGTGTAGTGGGTTACTCATTGGTCTGCTAACCACAAGGTAAGCAATTTGAATTCACCAGCTACTATAAGGGAGAAAGATGAGGATTTCTATAGCCTCGGAAACTCTATACAGGGTTGCTTTGACTCAGAACCAACTCAACTGGCACACCACCACTATCACACCCTAATATGTATACAGATTAGACCTGCCATTAACTGTCATGTAAATTCAGCATTTAAGAATCACATAAAAAGATAGCTGTAGAAAAATGTATGCATTTCTGAATATTTAAATGAGTTAACTTTGATTTGGGAGTTTAAAAATCTGATGTTCAAAGAAAACCATTGTCAAGCAAAATACCTAGAAAAGGATTTTGAGTCCTAGTGGTACAATGATTAAAGTGCTCAGTTGCTAACCTAAAGGTCAGCGGTTTGAACGCACTAGCCACTCCACAGGAGAAAGATATGGCAGTCTGTTTCCATAAACATTGGCAGCCTTGGAAACCCAGTGGACAATTCTGCTTTGTCACACATGGTCACTATGAGTCAGACTTGACTTGATAGCAATGAATCTGGTTTTGTATTTTTTCTCTTTGCTTCAGTTAATTTATCTATCAAATGGTGATAGTAATTCTATTATATCATCTATTCTAACATTCTTGTAGTTGTTGGAAGGATTTTAATAATTAATGTACATGAAAGTGCTGAGTGAAATAAAACTATTCAACTGTATTATAAATTAAAGAGGTAGTATTTTAAATTCATATCTATTATTTATTATAGTGGAAGCAAAGTTTGTTGAGTACCTATGATCATTTGGATCATTTTATCCATCATTTATGTACTTTTATGCTTTTGTTCTTACACTCAGTACCCCCTAATATTGCGGGAACAGATGAGCCCCAGGATGTCACTGTATTACAGAATAGACAAGTAACTTTGGAATGCAAATCAGATGCAGTGCCCCCACCTATAGTCACTTGGCTCAAAAATGGTGAACAACTACAGGTAAATCTTTTGCTACTTTCTATAGATTGATTTTGAGATTTAAAAAAAAAAAAAACAATCAGTTGTGATTTTTTTCTACCAGCAGAGAAGCTGGTAGAAAAGGCAATGTACATCATTCTACTGGTTGCTCGGCATTGTAGCAGTGAGTACCAGGTCCTTCTCATCTCAGTTTTACTGGGATAGTTTGTGGATAATCATAGGCCAAAAGTCTAGGTGTTTAGACTCAAGATATACCACAAATTGGCCTATGTATCTTCTGGATCCCATGTATCATTTTTAAAATTAAAGAATTGATAAAAAATTATGTTGTTATTGTTAAGTGCCCTTGAGTCAGTTTTGACCTTATGCACAACAGAAGTAAATATTACCCAGTACTGCTCCATCCTAACAATTCCTGATAAGTGTGTGCCAATTGCTGCTGCCACAGTGCCAGTATATCTTGTTAGGGGTCTTTCTCTTTTTTTGCTTCCCATTCATTTTACATAGCATGATGTCCTTCCCCAAGGAATGGTCCACCTGATACATCTGAAGTATGAGAGATGAAGTCTTGTCATCCTGACTTTTAAGAAGTATTGTGGCTGTACTTCTTCCAACACAGATTTGTTTGTTCTTATAGCAGTTTGTGGTATTTTTAATATTCTTCTCTAATACTATAAATCAAATGCATCAATTCTTCTATAATCTTCCTTATTCATTTTCCAACTTTGATGTGCCTGTGAAGCTGTTGAAAATACCATGGCATGGGTATTTTCCTTATTCCTCAAACTGACTTCTTTGCTCTTAAACACTTTGAAGAGGTCTTGTGCAGCAGATTTGCCTAATGCAATAACATTGTTTGATTTATTTACTATTGCTTCCATAAGTGTTCTTGGTGGATCCAAGCAAAAGGAATCTTTAACAACTTCAATCTTTTCTCCATTTATCATGATGTTATTTCTTGGTCCAGTGGTGAGGATTTGTTTTCTTTACATTGAGGTACAACCCATATTGAAGGCTGTGGTGTTTGATATTCACCAGTAAGTACTGAAGAAAAATTCAAGCCTTGACTTGAAATATTGAAGCACTCTATGGGGAAATTATTGACTGATGCACAAAACATCAAAGCACAAAATCACTGTACCAAAAAGAAACAGTCAGTGTTCAACCATTTCAAGAGGTAGCCAATGATCAAGAGCCAGTGATATTGAAGGAGAAGTCCAAGGTGCATAGAAGGCATTGGCAAAGAACAAGACACTGGGAATAGATGGAATACGATTGAAATCTTTCATTGAACTGATGCGGCACTGGAAGCACTCACTCATCAATGCCAAGAACTGTGGAAGACAATTACCTTGCCAACTGACTGGAAGAAATTGTATTTGTGCCTGTTCCAAAGAGAGGTGATCCAGTGGAATGTGGAAATCATCAGACAATATCAGTGATAGTCCATAGCAATAAAGTTTTACTACAGTTAATATAAAAATGGCTGCAGCCATACATTGACAAAGAAATAACTTTCAGAGGTTTAAATTGGATTCAGAAGAGAACATGGAATTAGGAATATCATTACTGATGTCAGATGGATCTAGGCTAAAAGCTTACCTGTGCTCTCTTGACTACACAAAGACTTTCAATTGTGTGGAAAATGACAAACTAAGGACAACATTGTGGAGAATGAGTATTCCAGTACACTTAATTGTGCTCATGAGCAACCTGTACATAGACCAAGAGGCGACTGTTTGAATAGAACAAGGGAATGCCAAAGGGTTTAAAATTAGGAAAGGTGTGTCCCAGTGTTGTATTCTGTCACCACACTTATTCAGTCTGCATGCTGAGCAAATAATTTGAGAAACTGGATAATATGAAGAAAAATGTGAAATCAGGGTTGGAGGAAGACTAATTAACAAACTGAGATATACATATGATACAACCTTGCTTGCTGAAAGTGAAGAGGACTTACAATAGTTACTGATGAAGATCAAAGATCACAGCCTTTGTTAAGTTGCATCTCAATGTAAAGAAAACAAGAATCCTCATCAATAAACCAATAAAAAAACATTTATATAAATAAAGAAAAGATTGAAGTTGTCGAAGACTACATTTTGCTCAGATCAACCATCAACACTCATGGAGGCAGCAGTCAAGAAGTCAAACGATGTGTTGCATTAGGTAAATCTGCTGGATTAGACTTTTTTAAAATGTTGAAGAGCAAGGGTGTCAGTTTGAGTACTAAGGTGCGCCTATGCAAGCCATGGTATTTTCAATAACCTCATATACATGTGAAACTTGGACAATGAATAAGGAAGACCATAGAAGAATTGATGCATCTGAGTTATACTGTTGGAGGAAAATATTGAAAGTACCATGAACTGCCAATAGAACAAATAGATCTGTGTTGGAAGAAGTACAGCCAGAGTGCATTTTGGAAGCCAGGATGGTCAGACTTCATCTCTCATTCTTTGGACATATTATCAGATGGGATCAGTCATTGGAGAAGGATATCATGTTTGGTAAAGTGGAGGGTCCAAGAAAAAGAGGAAGACCCCCAGCAAGATGGATTGGCACAGTGGTAGCAGTGATAGGCTCAAGTGTAGCAATGATTGTGAGATTGGCCCAGGGTGGGGCAGTGTTTCAATCTGTTGTACATAAGGTAACTAACTATGAGTTGGTAACAACTCTATGGCACCTAACAACAATGTGCAAAATATTAAATGATGCAGAAATCGTCAAAATAAGATGGAAGGAATATACAGAGCCACTTGTACCAAAAAGAAATGGATGATGTTCAACTATTTCAAAGGATAGCATGTAATCCTGAGCCAATGGTACTGCAGGAAGATATACAAGGTGCAGTGAAATCAATGGCAAAGAACAAAGCTCCAGGCATTGGTGGAATACAAATTGAAATCTTTCAACAATCTGATGTAGCACTGGAGATACTCATATATGCCAAGAAATTTGGGAGACAGCTACCTGGGCAACTGATTGGAAGAGATCTATATTTGTGCACATTCCAAAGAGAGGTGACTCAATAGGATACAGAAATCATAGGACAATATCATTAATATTACATGCAATTAAAAATTTGCTTAAGATAATTCAAAACCAGCTGCAATAGTACAATGACAAGGAACTGCCAGAGTCAAGCCAGATTCAGACAAGGATGTGGAATAAGGTATATCTTTGCTAACATCAAATGGATCTTGGTTGAAAGCAGAGCATTTCAGAAAGATGTTACCTGTGCTTTATTGAATATGCAGTATTTTGACTGTGTGGATCATGATAACCTATGGACAACATTGTGAAGCATGAGTATGCAGGAACATTTAATTATGTTAAAGAGGATCTTGTACATAGACCAAGAGGCAGTTGTTAGAACAAAACAAGGTGACACTGAATGATTTAAAATTAGGAAAAATGTGTGCCAGTGTTGCATTCTGTCACCATACTTATTCAATCTGTATACTGATGAAATAATTTGAGGAGCCGGATTACAGGAAGAAAAACGTGGCATCAGGGTTGGAGGAAGGCTAATTAATAAATGGTGATATGCAAATGGTACAACCTTGCTTGATCAAAGTGAAGAAGACTTAAATACTTACTGATGAAGATTTTAAAAACCCACAGTCTACAGTATTGGTTGCACCTTAATATAAAGAAAATTTACAGAAAGACTTTTTAAGTTAGTAGCACTTAACTGATGTTCATGGATGAAAGATGCTATGAAAATAAACTCTGAAAATTTTATTATCCCCAAATTCTGGTATATCCATATAAAAGTCAAAAAAATTAAAATACCGTCCTTAGAAATTGTAATCAAGCATCTAGGTTCTTTCTTCCACTCTCAGCTCTGTTTCCTTTGTCTTCGATTCAGAGCAGCCTGTCCATATATGGTGACAGACACTGCCTCCAAAATTGACATGCTTAATTACATCCAGTGACCATAGTAAAAAAGTACATGCCTTCTTTCTCCAACATATCCATCAACAGCCCTGAGAAGGACTGTTGATGGATTCAACTCACCTTTTCATCATTAAGTGGATCATTGTGGTCAGACATGTGGGCGTACTGATTATGTGCTTGCCTTACCACACTCAGAGAAATAGTTCCCAAGGGTTTTTGATACTAGAATAATGGTAAGAAAGCAGGCAAAGCATGCTGACAGACAAAACTTTGCACTTCACTATAGTCTCCTTTGATACTAGAAAGCAAAATTTTATTCCTTTTCTCATACATTTTAATGGTAAATTTTACTTCTGAATCTAGGCAACACCTCGAGTGCGAATCCTATCTGGAGGGAGATATTTTCAAATTAATAATGCTGATCTAGGGGATACTGCCAATTATACCTGTGTTGCCAGCAACATTGCAGGAAAGACTACAAGAGAATTTATTCTCACTGTAAATGGTAAGAAAATTTTTAATTGCTTTGTGATTAAAAATTCAGCCAAGAACATTTAAATCAATTTTTCTTTTCTTTTTTTTTTTGGTCTTCCATGAACTTCCTAAATGAATCCTTATGGTAAGTGTAGAATTTGCGTTAGGGCTCCATTGTAAATTAATTCATTTCATATTATATAATTAGAGGTATCTGACTCTATCTTAAGTGATAATATATGACTGATGATTATTAACATACCCTGATGTTTTGTGTCATTCACATTGGTTGTTGAGGAAGTTTATATATTAAATGCCTAGATGACAAGTGGCCTGTGATTTAGTTCACTATTATTGAAATATTGTTGGCAAATAAGTGATATATGTGCAAGATGGAGATTATCATAGGACTATAATTCTTTCAAGAATAAAATTTAAGTAGTAAAATTTGTCAAAATATACTATATACTTTCCCTCAAGAGAGTCTCTTTTGGATTTTTAATATACGAGGTTATACAAGTTAGTGGGTGACCCACACAGCTTATATTTCTAATACTAAAATCCAACTGCAGGTTTTCTATTCCCATATGAACTCAATGTTTCATAAAGTAAATGCTCTGAGACGTGCATGATTAACCACAGATGTGCATTTCATTAAAACAGACCACTTTCTGTTCTTTATTTTAAATGAAATTGTCCCAGTGTTGACACTCTCTGACCATTATTTGGCCAAAGAAAAATAAAATATATCATCTTTAATTTGTATCAGACCAGAGCTGATGTTTATTGAAGCCTCTCTCACAGAGAGCCAAATTTCACACACTGTATCAGGGATTTTAAACATACCTCCCCCATCAATGCTTTATTTTTAAACACAAAGTGTCTTGTGTAAGATTTTAGAAATTAAGCCCCAGTTTTGTTTATACTGATATAAGTTAGCCATAGATAAAGCTATCCATGTGATTAAAAGCTCACCTTGTCTTACCTCTTCAGGGTTTTGTTCAGGCTGTGTTATTAGTATAACTGAACTTTTTCATTGCATTTTGTGTGCAGTTCCTCCAAACATAAAGGGTGGTCCCCAGAGTCTTGTCATCTCCTTAAATAAGTCAATTGCATTGGAATGCCTTGCTGAAGGTGTGCCAACCCCAAGAATAACTTGGAGAAAGGATGGAGTTGTTCTAACTGGAAATCATGCAAGGTAACAATCCTGGAAAAAGAAGAAAAATACTATAATAACTGAAATATAAATTCTTAAATTTTTTCAGTGCATTATTTTGATCTTATGTTTATAATTATTTAGCATCTTCATCTTAACATGAGAATCAAAATGGAGCATTTCATAAGTATAATTCTTAACTCTCATATCTAAAATGCAATGATTGTAATCCATCCAATATTACAAGCTAATTTTTTAGATATCATTGAATCATAATTAATCTGCCACCAAGGTTTTTGTAAATATGTGTCCTCTAAAACAGGTCAAGGACTAAAAGTAGATTTGACTAAGTCTTAAAAAATTATTTCCATCAAAAGGTGAAGAGTCATATGAGGTTGATTCAGAAAACAATCACTTTTGATTTTTCTTATAGATATGCTGTCTTGGAAAATGGGTTCCTTCTCATCCAGTCAGCTCATGTCATGGATGCAGGACGGTATTTGTGTATGGCTACCAATGCTGCTGGAACAGACCGCCGGCGAATAGATTTACAGGTCCATGGTAAATATACTTTCATAAACACCCTCCAGTCTTTGGAGCAAATGCTTTAAGTCAAATAACCTAAACTAGTGATCTTAATGCCCAATGCAATTTAAATGCATTATATGAAATTTTGAGAATAAAAGCCCATGTTTTCTCTCCAGCATGGTTAGCACCTTCACAACACTATTTAGATTCACATAACTATGAGACAAGTTACTAATGATTAACTTCAGGTTTGCAGAAATACTTCAAATGGCACACTATTGCTGAATGTGTTTTCCTAATTTAATGCCATTGCTTTAGTTCCTCCATCTATTGCTCCTGGTCCTGCCAACATAACTGTAACAGTAAATGTTCAAACTACTCTGGCCTGTGAGGCTACTGGAATACCAAAACCATCAATCAATTGGAGAAAAAACGGGCATCTTCTTAGTGTGGATCAAAATCAGAATTCATACAGGTAAGAAATTATTTCATTTAAAAAAAACATTTGTATAAGAATAAACATTTCATTATTGATGGAGGCAATAGATATAAAAATTATGAAGACTTTTCAGGTATACATTGCACAGAGAATACTTTTTCCCTCCTTAACATGGAATTCAGTTTCAACGTAAAATTATAAGTGTAATTTTTCCATACACAAGTCCTCTGATGAGTCCACAGGATTAGACTTCTATTCCAGTTGATTTTTAAATAAAATTTTATAAAGACAAAAGATTAAAAAAAAGCACTTGATATAAAAACAAATTCTATGAAAATAAATAAAAATTTTAGTTGTAAATAAAAATCAACCTTTTTTTTTCCTTGATATGTTATATAGGTATGTGGTAGCATGCATGGGGAGGGAAATATTATTTTTCTAATTCTTTGCATTCCTCCTAATAATAACAGGCCTCATAATATGCTAATGTATATTTTTAAAAGCTATGCTTTGAATAACTAGCAGTTTCCTGTTGCCATTGAGTCAATTCCGGCTCATAGCAACCCTACATGAAAGAACTTCTTGTAGGTTTGTCAGGCTCCGTCCAATCAATTCCAGCTCGAAACAACCTTGTGCACAACAGAATGAAGCACTACTAATCCTCACATAGGGTTTACAAGGTTGTAAATCTGTCACACACTGCCGCATCTTTCTCGCACAGAAGAGTTGGTGGGTTTGAACTACCAATTTCATGGTTAACAGATGAACATCTAACCATTGCTCTACCAGAGCTCCTTTCTAATGCTATAAATGAACCTAATTTCTTATATTTGAAATGAGTTAATAGATAGTTATTCTGTCAGATGATTGCCATAGTACTGAAAAAAATGGTATAATCAATATACTTTGACAAAAATCAATTCTGATATGTCAGACAACATGAAAACAGGAATATTTTATTTGAAATCCTATCAGTTCTCTCTCGCTCTTAATCTGTTTATCTTTAGGATTGGGAGTTCAGTGATTTCAATATATATACTTTATGGAAAATGTATAATGTCCTTGAATAAAAAGTACATTAAAAATATTTCCATAAATTAAATCATTTCTATTCATTAAATAAATTTGAAGTTTGAAGTAAGAAAACAGATATTATTTAGAGTTACTTTCAATCATGTATATATGCTTACTAAATCTAAGCATTTGATCCAGATTGCTTTAGTTTTCAGTTGGCTAGAGATTAAAGGTAAGATTTACTGATTATGATCTCCATACTTCATTTATTGATGCATGAACCTCCAAGGTTCATGTAAAGAGACATATGAAGTACTGTAAAAGATTAGACAAACAGATCTGTAGCTAAATACCAACCATCTAAATTTTAGTCTTCCCATCTGTAAATGGAAATAATTATAATACCAACCCACAGACTTATTGTGAAATTTGGAAATAATTTATCATGGTGCCAGGAATTTATTCAATGCTTAATAAACAGTGGCTGTCATCAATGTGATAACATTCAGAAAACACAAGATTCCATCTTCAGACAGCCCTTCCTCTTAACTACGTCCTTAAATGCCAAGGTTGAGGCTCTACTAATCCATTACCCTAAACTTAAACTCTTGTTAGACTTAAAGAAATAATGCATGTTTTAAAGTACCTTATTGAAGTGACTGAACAAATGAAATCTGGTATATTGTACCTCATTGCTTTGAAATCTCTCTTATAGACTTCTGTCTTCAGGTTCACTAGTAATTATTTCCCCTTCTGTGGATGATACTGCAACCTATGAGTGCACTGTGACAAATGATGCTGGAGAGGATCAGAGAATCATGGATCTCACTGTACAAGGTAGAACTGTTTAACATGTGAATTAGAAGTTGTTATAATGAAAACAACTCATGATTCTAATATTTTTCAAGTTTTTCCTTTTCCATTTAGCTAACATTTACATGGGAGTCCTCGGTCCTGGTGTGGTGCTATAGGATAAGCCTTGGACTGCTAACCTGAAGGTCAGCAGTTCAAACCCACCAGCTGCTCCTAGGAACTCTATACAGGGTCACTACGAGTCAGAATTGGCTCAATGGCACAAAACATTTACATGGAGTGGTATAATGGGTGGTATAAATGGTTAACATGTTTGACTACTAATCAAAAGGCTGGAGGTTCAAAACTACCCAGAAGCACCTTAGAAGAAAAGTCTGACGATCTACTTCCAAAAACCAGCCATTGAAAAATCCTATAGAGCACAGTTCTACTCTGATATACATGGAATCACTAGGAGTCAGAATAGACTCGATGGCCACTGGTTTTTAAGATTTACATTCAAAGGGGAGTGAAAGCTTTATGATAAGGCTTTTGAAATATGTAAATGTTGGACACATGTATGGTTTTATTTCTTTTTGTTATTACTGTTGTTTTAGTTCCACCATCCATAGCTGATGAGCCTACAAACTTCCTAGTAACCAAACACACCTCAACAGTGATTACCTGCACTGCTTCAGGAGTTCCATTTCCCTCAATCCACTGGACCAAAAATGGTATAAGACTTCTTCCCAGGGGAAATGGCTACAGAATTCTGTCTTCAGGTAAGACCAAGTTCAATGATTAAACATAAACCAGTTGGAGCCCTGGTGTGGTACTGTAGAGTAAGCACAAGATCGCAAAGGCAGTGTGAGCTGCAAGACTGACACTTCAAAGTCACCACCCGCTTCTTGCAAACCCTATACAGCATCACTCTGAGTCAGAGCAGACTCCACAGCACTTAACAACAGTAACAATACCAAGCTTTAGTTGCACCAAAATAAAATACGTTTGCATTCCTGGACTTATCTATCCCCCACTCACCAAAAAAAAAAAAACAAAAACAGCAATGAAAATGGAGCTAGTGAAAGGAAAGGAAAAAAAGAAATCTAGAAACAAAATAATTAGCATTATCTAAGACTGATATTGGATAATAGATAATAATTTCTAAAATGACAGCATTGTGAAGAACGAAAATCCAGAACACTTAATTGTGCATATGCAAAATCTGTATATGGATCAGGATGTAGTCATTTGAAGAATCAAAGGGATAACTGTGTGGCTCAAAATTGGACAAGATGTGTGTCAGGGTTGTATCCTTTCACCTTATTTATTCAATCCATATGCTTAATGAATAATCCATGAAACTGGACTATATGAAGAAGAATGTGACGTTAAGATTATTTGAAGACTCATTAATAACATTTGATAAGCAAATGTTAAAAATGAAGATAGCTTGAAGCACTTACTGATGAAGGTCAAATACTACATGCCCTTCAGTATGAACTACACCTGAATATTGACAAAATAAGAATTCTCACAACAGAACCAATAAACAACATCATGATAAATGGAGAAAAATTGACATTATCAATGGTTTTATTCTACTTGAATCAGAAATCAATGTTCATGGAAGCAACAGTCAATGAAATGATGCATATTTTGAAGTACCCTGTTGAGACAACTGAACAAATGAAACATACTGCATTGGTAATATCTGCTGCAAAAGACCTCTTTAAGATTTTGAAAGGCATGTATTACTTTAATGACTAATGTGCATCTGACCCAACCCATGGTCTTTTCAGCCACCTCATATGCAAGTGAAAGTTGAATACTGAAAAAAGAAACAGAGTAAGAATTGATGTAGTGTTGGCAAACAATACTGATTATTATACCATGGACTCCCAAAAGAACAGATAAGTCTTAAAAGATATACTATCAAAACATTCCTTGGAAGCAAGGATGGCAAGATTTTCTATGGCTTACTTTACACACATCATCAGGAAAGACCAATTGTTAGAAAAGGACATAATTTTTGGTAATGTAGAAAGCCATCATAAATAACTCTCAGTGAGATAAATTGACATAATAGCTATAACAATGCACTCAAAGCAGGACTGGGCCATGTTTTGTTTTGTCCTGCATGAAGCTGCCATGATTCAAAGCCAACGCTAACAACAAGACTACCTGAATATAGTAAGTGTGACAACTGGCATTTTATGTGCATGTTTGCTGAACCTAAAATTTAACAAATTCATTAGTATATGTGAGTATACCAAATTGCTTTCTTTGACCAAAGAGAATGTTCATTCATTCACCCTAGTTTGGTGCCTAAAACCAGCTACTTACTCTCCTGTGTTCCTGTGAATACAAAACTAAGACAGGTTATTTTTCTTTCAAAGTTTATAATTTTTAAGGTAAAGCTCGTTAGTAAGTACAATGATGGGTCATTTTTTAGGGTGGTAGCAACCGTCATTGATACCATTCAAAGTTTTAGTATTGAAGAGAAAATAACTCACTTAAATGAAAGCATAGGTGATTCACATTAGTGTTTATAAAAACATATCCTACAATTGAGGGGTACATTAGAGGTAAGCTAAAATAGCAACTAATACTCTGAGATTTTTAGAATGTACACCTACTCCTTGCTTATCATCTATGTCATTATCTGTGTCTTTTTTTATTTTTTTTACTATTTACAGAAATAGTAAAAAAAAAAAAAATCTATCAAATAATTTTGTTCATTAACAACTTCTGTCAGTAACAAACATCAAAGTACAAGGTGAGAGTAACACGGGCTGTGTTGGTTAAGTCTGTGTCAACTTGTCTGGACCATGACTCACAGTGGTTTGGCAGTTATATAATGATGTCATTTCACATCTGTGTAGCGATGTAATTTGTCAGCTATATAATGATAAAATTTGGAAATTATGTAAGTATGCAATTCTCCATTTTGTGATCTAATATAGTCATTCTCCATTTTCATATAATGACCTGGTTTGGAACCTAACCACGTCAATAAATGAGGACTGGGAATACACATATTATTTTAAGAGAACTTGCATATTAGAAGACTTGTACCCAGGATACAAGTTGGTTTGCAAGGCAGTGTATTTTGGCTTTCAGAGACCTTCATAGACTGGTAACAGTTCATATTATAAAATGCATATTAACTATCTTCCAGTACAGTGTAGTAAGTTCAAAAAATGTTTGGAACTTTCTCAAAAAGTTAAATAGTTACTATATGATCTAGCAATTCCACCCCTAGATATTTGCCTAAAAGAAAAGTAAGTATATGTTCAAGTGGTCATGTCTGTGAGAATGTTCATGCTAGCATCATTATTCATAATAGTGAAAAAGTGGAAAGAATTAAAATGTTCATCAATTTGTGAATGTATAAACAAGAGGTGGTATATTTATACAGTGAAATTCTATTTAACAATTTTTTTAAAGTATAAATACTGGCACATGACACAACAGATGAACCTCAAAAACACAGTGACAGAAGTCACATCCAAATGCTGTACTGTATGACTTCTAGGATCAGCACTGCACTGCGAAGCACAAGGTCCGTAGTTCAAACCCACCAGCTGCTCCTCAGAAACCCTATACTGGGTCACTGTGAGTCAGAGTCGACTTGATGGCACTCAACAACAACAACAACAATGATTCCCTTTGTATGAAATGTCCATAAAAGGAAAATCTGTAGAGATGGGAAATGTAGGTGTAACTGACTAAGATAGGAGTTGTGATAAGGGAGTGATTTCCAGTGGGCACAGAGTTTTTATTTGGGGTGACAGAACTGTTCTAAAATTAGATTATGCTGATGGTTGGCCAGCACAGTAAATATACTAAAAATGACTGAATTGTACGTTTAAATTGATTAAGGTGGCCTGTAAAACATGCCTCAATCAAGTTGTTAATAATAATTGTTTCAAAATTAATGGGTTAGGAACTTCAGTGTATACAAACATAAGCTAAGCAAGTTTTTCTGCTAGGTGCAGAAAGCATAAAAATGAAATAGACAGTTTGTCAAATGAGAAAAGCAAGGATGTATATATATAGAGATACATATATATTATAACTTTTTTTCTCTCTAGGAGCAATTGAAATATTTGCCACCCAATTGGACCATACTGGAAGGTATACTTGCATTGCCAGAAATGCAGCTGGTTCGGCTCATCGACATGTGACCCTTCATGTCCAGGGTATGGAAGGTTGTCTTTACTCCTTAAAAACTTGTATTTCTTTCTTCTTCTTCTAAGTCATTTTTAATCCTTGAAGAACAGTGTTCTCTAGAGCTATGAGCCACCATAAATTCCTAGGAATATGAAAACTTCAATAAGACTAAAAAGGCACTGAAATGATAAATCATACAGAACAACCACGAGATTGTTTTCCTTTTTGGGTTTTTATAATATGTTCCTACTTCTAGTCTATTTGTATTATAATAAAAACTGGTTGCAGTGATGACTTCAAAGTTTATAATGGGATCAATATTTCCTTTTCCTTTTCTAATGGACAATCAAATCATTACTCTTTCAGAATTACAGATTTGACCTTGTTTAATCTCCTGAGTACAGCAGACATTTCTTCCATACACTGGTGCTATTATTATTTTTTTCTGTTGATTGTTTCTCATAGAACCTCCAGTCATTCAGCCTCAGCCAAGTGAACTAGATGTCATTCTAAACAATCCCATTTTATTACCATGTGAAGCAACAGGGACACCCAGTCCTTTCATTACTTGGCAAAAAGAAGGCATCAATGTTGTCACTTCAGGTATCTATTATTTTGCCTATCAAGAAAATCATGGCAAATTCAATGTTTTAAAATTGAGAAGTTGGCATGACTATATATTTTAATAAAAATAAAAATTTGTCTAATTTCTGTGTTAATAACTGTACTGCAGGTAAAAAACATGCAGTTCTTCCAAATGGCGGCTTACAGATCTCAAGAGCAGTCAGAGAGGATGTTGGGACTTACATGTGTGTGGCTCAGAATGCAGCTGGTACAGCCTTGGGCAAAATTAAGTTAAATGTTCAAGGTACTTAAGTAATCAACATCTATGTCTTCATTTCAAAACTGTTTTGACAGTGTATTTCAAAGATGTATATATTTAAAATGATTTTGCTACCTTTCCTCTATAGTTCTTAGTATTCTTAGTTTACATGATTCATATAAAGAAGGAAATTTCAATGTGCTGTTTTCTGTCATTGTTTTTGTAAGAAAAAAGGAACCCAATATATTTCTATTATGAATCTCTACTTTATATTCCAGTTTGTTACATGGCATATTTAATGTGGTTTGTTTGTCTGTTTATTTGTTATTTAAATCGATCCCTCTATAATACTACCTTGAAAATATGATTGTTGTCCACTTAAAAAACAAATTGAACAGCAGTTTCAGTATATTCATGGAAAAAAGAGTCTAAAGAAAAAGCAGGATCTTTTGTTTTGTTTTCACATGTACAGGTATTTTCTCAATATAATTTTCCTATCTTGCATGCACTGTTTTAAGGAAGTGAATTGGAAATAAATTCCATAATAATGAAGTTGATTTTGCTGATTTTGAACTTCTGGGGTTGTCTCCCTATAATGTCGTTATTGTTAGGTCCCACTGAGTTGGTTTTGACTCCTAGCAACCCATTGTGCAAAAGAACAAAACACTGTCCAGTCCTGTACCATCCTCATAGTTATCCCTATGTTTGAGACTATTTTTGCAGACATTGTGTCAGTCCATCTAATTAAGGCTCTTTCCTTTCCCCCTGACTTCCTACTTTGCCAAGCATGACTTCTGAATGACTGGTCCCTGCTGATAACATATCCAAGGTACATGAGACAAACTCTTCCCAATCTTACTTCTAAGGAGCATCTGACTATACTTCCTCCAAATTGGATTTGTTTATTTCTTTGGCAGTCTTTGATATATTAAATATTCTACACCAATACCATAATTGAAATGCATCAATTCTTCTTCAGTGTTCTTTATTTATTGCCCAACTTTCACATGTATATGTGGCAATTGAAAATGACATTATTCCTATGATATATTAATAAATATTATAAAATTCACTTTTCTGATTATTGTAAATCTAATTTCAATTTGCTTTTCAAAGTTTATTTAACAAATACTTATGGGGAATAACTGGGGGGCATATTTAATAATATAGACATGATCCCTTGCTTATGATATTTTCTTTTTAGTAGATAAGAGACAATTATGCAATCAAATCAATGAAACCATTATAAATTCTGATGTATGCTATGTATATAAAGAAAAAAATAAGGGCAGAAGTGGAGAATAATGGGAATTGGTAGGGCTACTTTAGGTCAGTGGCCAGGGTATGCTTCTCTGAGAAGATGACATGCAAACTGAGGTCTGAATAATGAATGTGAAGGTTTCAGAATGTGTTCAAAGACAAAGCTGAGAAAAGAAGTAGGCTAGTGTGGCTAGACATTGGTGAGCAAGAGGAAGACTGACATAACTTTAGGGAGATCAGTGCATGAAGGACCAATAGGACATAAAGAGTTTAGATTTCAATTTTTGTGCAGTGGGAAACTGTCCAAGAATGCAAACAGAATTTTGATTTGGTTTTAAGACCTCTTTTGTTGCTATCAGATAATGGTGTTGAGAAAGGATAAGAATACAGGTGGATGATCTGTTAAATTAGTCTAGGCAGGATGGATGTAATATTCTGGCCAGAAGTGGGGTGTCTGTGTGTTGCAGAGGTGAAGGGAAAAGTGATGGATTCAAGATGTATCTGGAAATGTAATTACCAGGATTGCTGGTAACTCTAATTTGAGGGGTGAGGGAAAGAGAAGAATTGATATTTCCTGGACTTTGGGCTGAAGCTTGTGAGTAGATGATAGTACCATAGTAGACTACAAGGGGAAGAACAGGTTTTAGAAGAAGGGAATCGTGATTTCTGTTTAATCATGTTGACTGTGAGAAACTTAGAAATTGTCTCTCACTTATCTATCAGTTTGTCGTACTGTGGTGGCTTAGGTATTGCTGTGATGCTGGAAGCTATACCAACAGGTTCACCCAAGATGAACAGGTTTCAGCAGAGGTTCTAGACTAAAACAGACTAGGAAGAAGGTGAAGCAGACTACTTCTGAATGCTTAACCAATGAACCCCTTCTGCATAGCAGCAGAACACTGTCAGAGATAGTGCCGGAAGATGAGCCCTTCAGGTTGGAAGGCAATCAAAGTATGACTGAGAAGAAGGTGCCTCCTAAAAGTAGAGTTGGCCCTGATGATGTGAATAAAGTGTTTAGAACTTTCATTTGCTGATGGGGCACAACTGCAAACGAGGAGAAACAGCTGTAAACAACCATTAATAACCTGAACTGAAATGTACTTACTATGAATCTAGGAAGACTGGAAGTTGTCAAAAAATGAAATGGAATGCATAAAGATAGATATCCTGAGCATTAGCAAACTTAAATGGATAGGTATTGGCCATTTTGAATCTTACAGTCATGATTTATTTGCTGGTACCAATAAATTCAAGAAGAAAAGTGTAATATTCATCATTAAGAAGAACATTTCAAGATCTATCCTGAAGTACAGTGTTGTCTGTGATAGGATAATATCCATATGCCTGTAAGGAAGACCAGTTAATACCACTATCATTGAAATTTGTGCACCAACCAGTAAAGCCAGCGATGATGAAACTGAAGAATTCTACCAACTTCCTCAGTATGAATTGATCAAACATACAGTCAAGGTGTATTGATAATTCCAATGCTCTCCCATTTAAGCTGTCACTCAGTTCACAATGAAAACTTCAAAAACTGGTTGTTGGTTTTTTTTATGAGGAATTCACTGAGGGGGAAAAAAAAAAGATGTATTGATAATTACTGATGATTGGAATGTGAAGGTTGAAAACAAACAAGAAGGATCAATAGTTGGAAACTATGACCTTGGTGATAGAAATGATGCTGGAGAGTGAAAGAATAGGATTTTGAAAGATCAATGACTTATTTATTGCAAATTCTTTTTAAAACAACATAAAAAATGACTTAAACATGGAGCTGGCCAGATGGAATACACAGAAATCAAATTGACTACACCTGTGGGAAGAGACCATGGGAAAGCTCCATATCAGTAGCCAAAACAAGTCCAGGGGCTGATTCTGGAACAGGACATCAATTGAACATATGCAAGTTCAGACTGAAGCTGAGAAAACTGAAAAGCAGTTCACAAAAGTCAGAGTATGACTTTGAACATATCCTACCTGAATTTGGACACCAACTCAAGAACCTAGGGAACTGCATTAAACACTAGGGAACTGCAGAAACTCAACCTGAATTCAGAAGAAGACATGAAACTGGGAATAGCGTCACTGACATAAGATAGAGCTTAGCTATAAACAGAGAATACCAGGAAGGTGTTTACTTATATTTTATTGATTATGCAAAGGCTTTCGACTGTGCAGATTATAAAAAGTTATGATAAACATTGCTAAGAATGGATATTCTAGACCACTTGATTGTGCTCATGAAGAAACGGTACATAAACCAGGAGGCAGTCATTCAAAGAGAAAAAGGTGATACTAAGTAGATTATAATCAGGTAAAGTGTGTATCAGGTTTGTATCATTTCACCATTCATATTCAATCTATATGCTGAGCAAATAATCTGAAAAATTGGCTTATATAAGAAGAATGTGGCATTCACGATGGAGGAAAGAGTCATCAACAACCTGTGATATTCATATGATACAACCTTGCTTGATGAAAGCAAAGAACACTTGAAATACTTGCTGATGAAGATCATACATCACAGCCTTCAGTATGGATTGCGCCTCAATGTAAAGAAGCCAGAAATCCTCACAGCTGGACCAATAAATAGCATCATGATAAATGGAGAAAATTGAAGTTGTCTAAGATGTCAGTTTTCTTAGATCCAAAATCTACATTTATGGAAGCAGTAGTCAGAAAATCAAATGCTGTATGTTTCAGGCAAATCTGCATAAGACCTCTTTAAAGGGTTTAAAGAAAAGGTATCAGTTTGAGGACTAAGGTGTGCCTGATACAAGCCATATTTCAATTGCCTCCTATGCATGTGAAAGTTGGACAGTGAATAAGGAAGACTGTAGAAGAATTGATGCATTTGAGTTATGGTACTAGATAGAGAAGAATACCGCAAGTACCATGAACCACCAGAAGAACAAACAAATCTGTGTTGGAAGAAGTACAGGCAGAATGCCCCTTAGAAGCCAGGATGACAAGACTTTGTGTCTCATACTTTGGACATATTATCAGGAAGGACCAGTTCCTGGAGAAGGACATTATGCTTGATAAATTGAAGAGTCGGCAAAAAAGCAGAAGATCCCCAACAAGATGGATTGCTACAGTGACAGCAGCAGCAGGCTCAGGCATAACAACAATTTTGAGGATGGTGTAACAAAACAGAACACTGTTTTCTTCTGCTGCGCGCAGGGTCACTATGAAATAAAACTGACTCAATGGCACCTAATAACAAAAACATTAGAAATCGCAGTGGAGATGTCAAAGTAAATATCAGTAGTTTTTAATGTGAAGCTCATGGGAAACATAGAATCTAAAAATATAAATTTGGCAGTAATCAATGTATTTAAATTCACAATACTGAATGTGGTCATCTAGGAAAAATGTAGTCAGAAGAATCTCTAAGGAAAAAGTCATTATTTAGATATCTGATAAAAGAGATTAAGCAGGAAAAGAATACAAAAGAGAAAACAGAAATTGGAGTAAAATTAGAAAACTATAATACCGTGGAGGCCAAGAGGTTATCAAGAAGGAAGTGGACACTTTTGTTGAACATAATATCCTATTGTAGTAAGATAAGATAAGGATTGATTTCATCAATGCAGAGGTTATAAAAAAAAGTTTCAGATTTGAGAATTTTTTTCTTTGATAATTGATTAAAATTATTGGCTTAAGAACAATTAAAAGACAAAGAAGAATAGTAAACAACTAATAAAATGTGAACATTCCTAGAACACCCAGAAATAATTGCATGAAGGAGCTCTGGTAGCGTAGTGGTTACGAATCGGGCTGCGAACCTTAAGGTCAGCGGTTCGAAACTACCAGTCGCTTCACGGGAGAAAGATGAGGCTTTCTACTCCCGTAAAGATTTACACCCTCGGAAACCCTGTACAGGGTCGCTATGGGTCGGAACCGACTCAATGGCACTTAACAACAACAACAGAGGCATGAACTATTCTGAGTACCACTTGTCCTGTGCTTGTACAGTCTATAATGACAAAACACAAGATTAAACTCAATAATAATGGTTTCTGTAAATTATCTCAATAGAGTCCCTTTCATTTTCAATCACCTGATATGTGTACAAAAACAGGACAGTGAATAAGGAAGACTGAAGAACTGATGCCTTTGAATTATGGTGTTGTCAGAACAACGAACAAATCTGTCCTGTGAAAAGCACCGCCAGAATGCTCTTTAGAAGAGAGTTTGGTGAGACCTCATCTCACTTACTTTGGACTTGTTATGAGGAGGGACCAATCCCTGGAGAAGGACATCATGTTTGGTAAAGAAAAGGAAGCAAAAATAGGAAGACACTCAAGGAGAGGGATTGACACAGAGGGATGGTGTCAAACATAGGAACAATTGTGAAGCTCGTGCAGAACCAGGCAATGTTTTGTTCTGTTGTACTGACTCAACAGTACCTAACAACAATAAATTAGATGGACATTTTGAAAATACTTACTAGAAAACTCAGGCCAATACCTGTGAAGGTAACCCAGGACCAGGCAGTGCTTTCTTCTGTTGTGCATAGGGTTGGTATGAACTGGAAATGATGGTACCTAACAACGTCACCTGCATGTAAACACTAGAAAAGAAATCTTTATCATTAGTCTTTCCAGGGGGTTCTATGATCAATTCATTTTCTATGATCAATTCATTTATTCAAATAATTTATTATTCAAATAATACTTTAAAAAATAGGACCACTGTACATGAGACATTATGCTAAGTTCAATAGGACATGCATGAGTAAACATATCTTTGAACAGCTGAATATTTTTCAAACTTTAATGAGATTTATTTGGGAAGCCAATGTTTAAGCATTTGATTGAATCAGATGATGTCATATGTTACAGAAAATGCCTTTGTCCATCTAACCAAAGTTTTGTAGACATTTAAATCCTCTTGAATATATGTTGTTTCCTCATTTTAAATTGATTATTAGGCACATTTATTTGTTAGCAATATGAAAACTAATTTTCTTGAAAGGGCTCCATGCATTTTCTTTTTCAATGAAACCAAATCACAGTGATTCTTTGTTCATGATATGGTAAAGTCGGGATTTTATTTCTTATCAATGTTGCCTGACTTTATTGAGAATATAGTTGTGGTATGGGAATGCTACACTCACGTTTTAAGATGAGATTTCAACTTTGTATCTTTTAGTTCCTCCAACAATTAGCCCCCATCCAAAGGAATATATCACTGCTGTGGATAAGCCTATCATGCTACCATGTGACACAGATGGCTTCCCACCACCTGACATTACATGGCATAAAGATGGGCATGCAGTTATGGAATCAATCCGCCAGCGCATTCTCAATTCTGGAGCTCTACAGATAGCATTTGCTCAGCCTGATGATGCTGGCCAGTACACATGCATGGCAGCAAATGTGGCAGGATCAAGCAGTGCCAACACCAAACTTACTGTCCATAGTAGGTAGTTTAAAGTCATTGGTTAATAAATTATTTCAGTCTGCTGCATTATCATAAACCCACTGCTGCTGAGTCGATTCTGATGTAAAGTTTCTTAGACTGTAAATGTTTACAAGAGCAGACAGCCTCATTTTTCTCCTCCAGAATGGCTGGTGGATTTGAATCACTGACCTAACTAAGGCCCAACACACAGCACCACCAGGCCTCTTTTGGCATTATGGCAAAAAAGAAAAGTACAAATGTGATGGAAATCAGAACTGTACAAAACCAGTAATCTAAACTGGTGTGTACTTGTGAGAGAGAGAGAGAGAGAGAGAGAGAGAGAGAGAGAGTGTGTGTGTGTGTGTGTGTGTAGAGGTACACCAAAACCAGAAAACAAACCCACAGCCATCGGGTACATTCTGACTCAGAGCAACCCTACAGGACAGAGTAGAACCACTCTACAGGGTTTCCAAGGTTATAAATATTTACAGATGAAAACAATCTCAACTTTCTTCCACCCAGCATCTGATGGGTTCAAATAGTATCCCAACACTTATCCATAGTGCCATCAAGGCTCTCTGGAAAGAGAACCCTTCAAATCTAGTTCCTGTGGACTATGTTTATTGATGTGTATGCACATATGTGAGAGAGATTTTTAATACAGGCAGAATAATGAATGTATTATAATAAATACCCCCACATTGTAATTGTTGGGATCTTTTTGGTTTATGAGGAGTATTTTGTGTTTTGTGACTTTTCTGACTTTTTTTCAAGCTGCACAGCACCTTGACTCAAATTTAATTATCATATTATCTACATTATAAATGTAGTTTAAATTTATAACTGGAAATCTAGTTTATTCATTATTTTATAGTTGTAAACTACATGCATATATACTTTTATAACAAAAATATGCATTTTTCTATAGATTCAGACAGCTAACTAAATACCTAAAAAAATGTTTTAACTCTTACATGTAAAATTTAAGAAAAAATAGAATGCCTATATTAATATCAGTGGGAGGAAAGGGCAAGAAGCAAATTAAAGAGTTCCCAGCTCCTATTTGAGACGTAATTGTTATTTAAAATAATGAATGTCTGCTTTTTTTGTGTTCAAAATTTGTGAAAGTGGTGTTTTTTAAAAGCATGTTTAAATTATTATAACTTCATAGTTACAGTGACAATTTTAAGTGCAAACAATTAATTGAATAAATAATTTAGCAAAATTTTAAAGCACCATTGATTTTTCTGTCTTCCTTGATTTAGACTAGTTTTTCATTAACATAAGTGAACTGGTAAATACATATTAATTCTTTGCCTTACAATTAAAGAATACTCACATTCAAGTATCTGTAGGAAATATACCAAAATTGACCATATAATAATAGTGGAAGAAATTGTTCACATGGATTTAAAGTACAGGCTATATAGTTCCTATAAGGATCTCTGGTAGTGTAGTGGTTACGAATTGGGTTGCGAACCTTAAGGTCAGCGTTTTGAAACTACCAGCTGCTCCACCAGAGAAAGATGAGGCTTTCTACTCCCGTAAAGATTTACACCCTCAGAAACCCTGTACAGGGTCGCTATGGGTCGGAACCGACTTGACAACACTTAACAACAACAACATGCATCAAAAAGACATTATGTATCAAAAATGGTGTATGTCTTGAATTTTTATTGTGCAAAAAAAGTGAAGTAAATATATTAATGCTGCAGTTAACTAAAGAAAAATATCAACCCCAAGAAGGCCAGTACAAAGGAGATAATTAAAATAAAATATAAATTAATGAAAAATAAAGAGTATTTATGTTGAACCACTCACCAAATTAGATTTCTATATTTTTTATATAATCTATAAGGTTTATGCATATAATCATAGCTTATATAATCATATGATGGTTACATACTTATTTGTATAGTCATAAAAAATGAGTAGATGAAAAAATAGAGTTTATAATAACTTTATTTAACTGAGAACAACTTTTATTTTGTTACTGTTTTTTAAGTTTTTATTGTGAATTGGGTGAAGGTTTATAGAGCAGATCATCATTGTTGTATTCAACAATTCATACACATTTTGCTTCATTTCATTAATTGTTGTTAACAACATTAATCAGTGTTTTTGTCATTGTTGTTAAGTGCCAGAGTCGGTACTGACTCATAGCGACTTTGCATAGGCTTTCCAAGGAGTGGCTAGTGAGCTTAATCCACTGACTTTGTGGTCAAAGCAACCTTGCTGTCCAGAACATTAACCCAATATCACTTGTCCTGCTTCCTCCCTGTCTCCTGGTTCTATTTCTCCTTCTTTCCTAATCCTTATGAAATTTATCTTTGAGTAAATGTTGCCCTTTTGATCTTAAATGTTTGATTTTTCTAGGTGTATGTACCTCACCAGTGTTATTGCTTGGCTGAAAACCATGCCACAGAGATGAGTAGAGTTTCAGATTAAAGGGTGACTGAGGGCCATAGTAACACACCAGCTGCTCCTTGGAAACACTATACAGGGTCATTATGAGTCAGAATACCCTCGATGGCACTTAACAACAAGAACAAGGGCCATAGTTACTTTTTTCTTTTTTTTTTTTTTTACTTTTTATTGTGGATTGAATGAAGATTTACAGAGAAACTCATCAGTTTTACCTTCAACAAATCATATACTTTGTTTTATCTCCATGATTGCAATCCTTTCCATACATCAACAGTTATCCCACTGCCTCCCTTGATTCCTACTTCCATTCCTCCCTCCTTCCCATCCCTTCTCAACTTTGTCCTTAGGGAAATGTTACCCTTTTGATCTTGAATGATTGACCATTCCATGATAAGCATACTTATATGTCCCCCTATGTATCTACCTACTGTTTGGCTAAAAATAGGGTCACAAGGGTGAGTTCCATTCCGGACCTAAAGGCTGATTGAGGGCTTATAGTCTAGGGTTCCTATAGATGGGTGTTTTATTTTGTTATACAATTTTGGTTTTGTTCCACACTTTCTCCCACTCTATCCAGGACTGTCTAATGTGATCCCTTTCAGAGTAGTTAGTAGTAATAGATGGGCACCATATAGTTCTTCTTGTCTCAGAATTGTGGTTACTGATGTTCACCTGCTACATTGGTCTGTTGGAATAGTTGATACCAAGTATCTTCAATTTTCATCACTCAACTGTCTTCCACATATGGAGAGACCAATAGTTTTACCTTAGATGGCCGCTCATGAGCTTTTAAGAACCAAGACACTGCTCACCAGAGTAGGATACAGAACATTGTCTTTGTAAACTATATTATGCCAGTTAGCCATGAGACTACGGTCCTGAGCCCCTGGTGGTGGTGGCTGTGTGTCATGGAATCGGTTCCAACCCACAAGTGACCCTGTACAAAGTTTCCGAGGCTATAAATCTTTACAGGAGCAGAAAGCCTCATCTTTCTCCTGCGGAACAGCTGGTAGTTTCGAAATGCTTGCAGTTAGCAGCCCAATTTGTAACCACCTTAAGGTCAGCGGTTCGAAACTACCAGCCGCTCCGCGGGAGAAAGATGAGGCTTTCTACTCCCATAAGGATTTACACCCTCGGAAACCCTGTACAGGGTCGCTATGGGTCGGAACCGACTCGACGGCACTTAACAACAACAACAACACTACCAGAACCCAGCAATTCATTGCCTTAAGATGTTTGATAATATTTTTTAACTTTTCATCATTTTGACCTCTGTAAGCTCCACCACATTCATAAGTGTGTTTGCAGCAAAGGTAAATACCCATGTACAAATATCCTCTTTCAAACCGTTAATATTTGTGAGTATAATCCCACTCTCCCTCCTATACCTGTTCAGTCTGTGTATCTGACCATGTTACTTTTAAAATATCATTAAGATCGGTTCATGTTGTTGCTAATGTTGTTGTTGTTAAATGTCTTCAAGTTGGTTCCGACCCATAGCGATCCTGTATAGGATTTCCAAGGAACAGCTGGTGAGCTTAAACCACCGACCTTGCAGTTCAAATGGCTTTGCAGTCTGGCACATTAACCCACAGCGCCACACTGTTTGAATAATTCTAAAATGATTTGTTTTAGGAGAGGAGTATATTTATATTTTTGACTCAAGTATTCTTAGTATTGTTTACACCTTTCCCATGGAAGCAAATAGCTCTAAGTCCACTAAGGTATTTCATAGTATAATAAGTATTTTATTCATCTTTTTATATTACTGAAACTCCAGTTCAAGAAAATGAGAAACATAACATTTTTGGCTTAGTGTTATAATGCATGGAGTTATGAAATCACTATAAAACTTTTCTGTGAAACAGTATAAAATAAAATGACCTTAACAGTCTTAATCTGGCTTTAATAACATTTGTTGTAACACACTTGAAATACTGCATTTTTATAGTACTTTTTGATATTTAATATGGAATGAGTGTTTTACAGTGACTTTTATTAGTTTATCTTCACATTATCTCTGTGATACAAGTCCAGCAGTTATACAACCAAATAAGCATTTTTGTTGTGTTTTATTTGGGCTAGTTGGTTGGTTTTATAGTATTGTTTTATTCAAACTTTTGCTTTACTTCACTACATTAAGCAGAAGTAACTTAAGTAAGATGTTATGAAGCCAAGTAAAATCTAGAGACTTCCAACCCATTTATAAGTCATGTGTGCAGAAATTGAATTTAAATATATTCAATAACTTCAAATGTATTAGAGTTCTTGCTATCATCAAAAATATTGATTTCTCTCATAACAATCAATACCGTAGTAGATTTTTTTTCTTTTCATACTGCTAGAGAAATTACCCCAGAGAGTCTCATGTGTTAAAGCTTCAATGTGAATAAAGATATAGTGTCTAACTCAACATCCTGAATGACTGTCTTTTTAAAAATCTTCATAGTACCACCCAGAATCCGTAGTACAGAAGTACATTATACGGTCAATGAAAATTCACAAGCCGTTCTTCCATGCATGGCTGATGGGATTCCCACACCTACCATTATCTGGAAAAAAGACAATGTTCCTTTAGCTGACTTGTTAGGAAAATATACTGCTGAACCATATGGAGAACTCATTTTGGAAAATGTTGTGGTAAGTGTAATAAACATGAAGAGGTACAGTAAGCCAGATTTTTTATTTACCTTCTTACTTTTACTAACTTAGCTTAGGAATATTTTTTTAAATAATGAAAGAAAAATTATAAACCTAGGTCACAAGATAATTTTATGTATCCAAGGACTAAAAAGATTAAACAAATATTAGGAATTTATGAATGGTATTCTTTGGAAATCGTTATGGTGGTTTTGAATATTTTGGGTTTCCTGGAAAAAATTCTGAGTGCCTATGCTATGGTCTATGCTTATAACTGTATTTTGGCATGATTAGAAGAGTGGAAATGTAAGAACATCTAATGTATTATATTAAACAAATATAAATTGTTGTTCTTAAGTGCCATTGAGCCAATTTTGACCAATAGTGACCCTGTATAGGGGTTCCAAGGAGCAGCTGATGAACTTGAACTACCAACTTTGCAGCTCAAATGACTTTACAGTCTAATGCATCAGCCCACAAATAGCAGCTGCAGAATCTTTGTTGTTGTTAAGTACCATTGAGTTGGTTCCAACCCATAGTAACTCTGTATAGGGTTTCCAAGGAATGGCTGGTAAGCTTACACTGCTGACCTTGCAGTTCCAAACCAACTTTGCAGCCCAGTGCATAAACATATAGTACCACACCAGGACTTTGATTTTTATAGGTTTAAAAATAACTTTTCTATTCATGGACACAGAAACTAAAGTCTGGAACCATTGGAAGTTAAGCTATCCTAATGTTCTTGCATATCTAGCGCTATAGAATAGTAGCCATCAATAACATCTCACATTGTTAGTAGAAGCCTACTCAAACAGGCACCTACATTGGCACATACCACATGGCTTTACTTTTTAAAAGTTAAATTAAACTAAAAGTTATTATGTGATTTGGAATTTGGGTGCCAGCCCATGGCACCAAATATTAAACATAATTAAAATGTGAATCAATTTCTGAACTTTTGAATGTATCTAGTTCTTTTTAATAGCCCTTTGAAATCCCTAAATTGCATTACAAAATTTGGATGGAATAAATTTGAACATATTAAAATTATAGAATCAATCACATTTATATTATAAACTCTACCAACTAGCCAGAATTCTAGATTGCCAGAGTGAACCTGTGTCATTAGACCCTAAACCAAATCACATGTGCCAGCAAAAATCAAATTTATTCAAATAGGAACTTCCGTCACTTTTAAGAACCACCATTATGGTATGTACAACTAAGAAAGAAAAATATACAACCAATTAAGCTATTACAGACCACCAATTTTTAATTTATGTACCAATTTCAGAGCTATTATAATGTGATGATATAAGAACTTTGTTGTTGTTAGCTGCCATAGAGTCAGTACCAACTCATAGCAACCGTGTGCACAACAGAATGAAACACTGTCTGATCGTGGTCCAAACTCATTGTTGTTGATAGTTTGAGTCCATTGGTTCTGTCACTGTGCCAATCCATCTTGTTGGGGGTCTTCTTCTTTTTACTGTTACCCTCCACTTTACCAAACACGATATCTTCTCCAATACTGGTACTTCTAACAATACGTCTGAAGTACGAGAGACGAAGTCTGGCCATCCTGACTTCCAAGGAGCACTCTGGTTGTACTTCTTACAACATAGATCTATTTGTTCTTTTGGCAGCCTGTGGTACTTTCAATATTCTCCTCCAACACCATAACTCAAGTGTATAATACTTCTACTGTCTTTCTTATTTACCATCCAACTTCCAAATGCATACAAGGTTATTGAAAATACTATGGCTTAGGTCAGGTGCACCTTAGTCCTCAAACTTACATCTTTGCCCTTGAACACTTTAAAGAGGTTTAGTGCAGCAGATTTGCCTAATGCAATGCATCACTTGATTTCTTGACTGCTGCTTCCATGAGACTTGATGGTTGATGCACACAAAATGAAATCTTTGATAACTTCAGTCTTTTCTCTATTTATACAGATGTTGTTTATTGGTCCATGGGTAAGGATTTTTGTTTACTTTACATTGAGTTACAATACATACCAAAGGCTGTGGCCTTTGATCTTCGTTAGAATTTTAAGTCCTCTTCACTTTCAGCAAGCAAGGTTGTATCATCTGCATGTTGCAGGTTGTTTATGAGTCTTCCTCCAATCCTGTTGCCACGTTTTTCTTCATATGACCCAGCTTCTCAGATTATTTGGCATACAGATTGAATAAGTATGGTGAAATAATACAATCCTTGCATACATTTTTCCTAACTTTAAATCATTTGGTGTTATCCTGTTCCTTTGAACAACTACCTCTTGATCTATGTACAAGCTCCTCATGAGCACAATTAAGTGTTCCAGAATACCTATACTTTGCAATGTTGCCCATAGCTTGCCTTGAGCCACTCAATCAAAAGCCTTTGCATAATCAATAAAACATATATCTTTCTGATATTCTCTGCTTTCAGCCAAGATCCATCTGATGTCAGCAATGATAGTCTTTGTTCCACATCCTCTTCTGAATTCAGCCTGAACCTCTGGAAGTTCTCTGTCAATCAGTCTATTGTTGCAGCCATATTTGCTTTATCTTTAGTAAAATTTTACTCATGTGGGATATATCAATGATATTATATTGTCTGATGATTTCCACATTCCATTGGGTAACCTCTCTTTGGAATGGGTACAAATACAGATTTCTTCCAGTAAGTTGGCCAGGTTGTTGTCTTCCAAATTTCTTGGCATAGATGAGTGAGTTCCTCTAGTGCCATCTCACTTTCTTGAAAGATTTCTATTTTTATTCCATCAATTCCTGGAGCCTTGTTCTTTGCAAATTCCTCCAATGCACCTTTTATTTCTTTCTTCAGTATCTTTGGCTCTTGATCTTATGCTACCTCTTGAAATGTTTGAACATCGGCTGTTTCTTTTTGGTACAGTGACTCTGTATACTCCTTCCATCATCTTTTGATTCTGTCTGCATCATTCAGTAATTTGCCCACAGAACCCTTCAATGCCACAAATTGAGGTTGATTTTTCCTTCAGTTCCCTCAACTCGAGAAATGCTGAGAATATTCTTCCCTTTTGGTGTTCTAACTCCAGATCTTTGCACATTTTGTTATAATATTTGACTTTATTTTCTCAAGCTGACCTTTGAAATTTCCTGTTCAGCTGTTGTAACTCCTCACTTCTTCCATTTGCTTTAGTATCTCTACACTGGAGAAAAAGTTTCAGAGTCTCTTCTGACATCCATTTTGACCTTTTCCTTCTTTCTTGTCTTCTCAATGACCTTTTGGTTTCTTCCTGTATGATGTTCTTGGTGTCATCCCACAACTAATCTGGTCTTTGGTCTTTAGTGTCTAATGCATCAAATCTGTACTTCAAATGCTCTCTATATTCAGGTGGGATATATTCAAGGTCATATTTTGGCTCTTGTGGACTTCTTTTCATTTTTTCTTCAGCTTCAGTTTGAATTTGCATATGAGCAATTGAAGGTCTGTTCCACAATCTGCCCCAGGCCTTGTTGTGGTTGATGATAAGGAGTTTTTCCACCATCTCTTTCCACAGATATAGTCGATTTGATTTCTGTGTATTCCATCTGGTTAGGTCCATGTGTATAGTCATTTTTTATGTTGTCTAAAAAACATGTTTACAATGAAGAACTCATTGGTCTTCCACAAAATTAATATCATGCAATCTCCAGCATCATTTTCTATCACCAAGGCCATATTTTCCAGCTTCTGATCCTTCCTTTTTGTTTCCAACCTTTGCATTCCAATCACCAGTAATGATCAACACATTTTGATTGCATGTTTGATCAATTTCAGACTGAAGAAGTTAATAGAATTCTTCAGTTTCATCATCACTGGCTTTAGTGGTTAGTGCATAAATGTGAATGATAGTGGTATTACTTGTCTTTCTTATGGTGGCTTGGTGGATGTGTGCCATGGAGTTGGTTCCGACCCATAGCGACCCTGTACAGGGTTTCCAAGGCTGTAAATCTTTTTGGGAGCAGAAAGCCTCATCTTTCTCCCGCAGAACAGCTGGTAGTTTCAAACTGCTGACCTTGCGGTTCGCAGCCCGATTCATAACCACTACGCTACCAGATCTCCTTGACTTCCTTACAGATGTATGAATATTATCCTGTCACAGACAGTGATGTACTTCAAGACTTCTCTTGATATGTTTTTTTTATGATGAATGTGATGTCATTCCTCTTCAATTTGGCATGTGATTGTGAGATTTGAAATGGCCAATACCTGTCGAATGCCTAAGATATCGATGTGTCTACATTTCATGAGAACTTTAGAACTGATCACATAAGGGTAACTTGGTTCATTCATTTGTTTAAATTGCTCATTGTATCTAATGGGCATCACATGAGGTTTAGAAATGATGAAAGTGGCCCCTAGATCACTCTTCTAGACCCTGAAGAATGAAAAATGAAAAAAGTTTACAGTTATTATAAGAAAATGACTCAATGCTGTTAAAGAATATCAGCAAAAAGATCATTTATAACTAACTACCAAGTAAGAGACATAGTTAGTAGAAGTGTATTTGTGAAAAATATATACAATCCAAATATTTTAATGCTTCAAATTCATAAAATCTTTGATTTTAAATTTTAAGTTTTCACCACTTGAGAATTTAAGAACAGCTAAATGGTGCAGATAGTTGGGGGAGTGTTTAGAAGGAATATCATTTATTCCTGTGGTGTCCTGGTACAGCGCTGCAGGTTAATGCGCTGGGCTGCAAGGTTAGTTTGAACCACAAAGTCAGTGGTTCAAGCTCACCAGCCCTTCCTCAGAAACCCTACACGGAGTCACTATGAGTCAGAACCAACTTGAGGACACTTAACAACAACAACAGTAGTATGAAACCAACTTTAGATTTTATGTATAGTGAACGATTATAAATCTTTACGTAACAATTTAAATCAATTCTTTGATGTTCTGATGCAAAAAAAAATTATTTAATTTGTAAATTTTTAAAATAAAAATAAACAGAACATAATCTGTGCCTTAATGTATCCTTTGACATTGAATCATTAATTCAATGAATATTTATCAAACACCTTCTCTGTGCCCAGCACTGGTTTAGGCACTTAACAGCAATAACAACAATTTTGTATAAAAGGCCACTGGGTTTTGTTTGCACTCAACAAAAATAGTTTGCACTCAACAACTAACCTAAAATAATAACTTTGAGTTTTTGTTGTTATAAAGATTTAGTATTAACAACTGGAATTTAAACCGCCCACTGGTGCCACCGAAGAAAGGCTTGGCTATCTGTTTTTATAAAGATTACAGCAAGCAAATTCTGTGGAGCAGTTCCACTCTGTAACACATGGAGTCAAGTCTGGCAACCAGTATTTGACACTGAACCAGAGAGTTTGAATGCGAGATTCGAGATCATTGGTGTTTGAAAGAGAGATCTGGACTGGAAATGCTAGTGGTCATCAGCATGTTGGTAATGTGTAAAGCCATAAGACTGGATGCGATCACAAAGAAATTGAATCTAAATAGTGAAGAAAAGAGGTCCAAAGAGTGAGGCCTTTCATATGCCAACATTTAAAATATTAAGGTTAAGGAAAAGCCAGAAAAGGCATGACAAAGGAGTAACCAGTAAGATAAGAAGAAAACTAGCAGACTGTTGTGTCTTGGAAGTTAAGTGAAGACAGTGTATCATGAGAAAGAAGTCTTAACAGTGTCCAGTTTTGCCAATGCATCTAATAAGATGAGTGCTTAGAGTTGCTAATGGAATTTTAGTAAGTAAAACTTCAGAACTGCAGATAATATTGCCCTTACACATTGTCATTTCTCCTGATAAATTTGGTGATTTTTGGTGCCACATCCACCAGAGAGCCAGCTACACTGTCCAGATGCTACTTGCCTTTGGGCTTATTGGTTCTTTGTTCACTGCAGAGCAGTGTTGAAATTTGGATCTAAAGTTTTCGGAGATCTTATCCCTATAAACAAATTGGTAGTTCTGTAAGGTATTTTAAATTATGTTTGCACAAGCTAATCTGACTAACCATGTAAAGTTCAGACTAAAAGTGGAAATTTAAATTGCCTAAATAGAGTGCTTCCCTTGGTGGTCTGATTATGTAATTATATGTATTTTATACAATATGATATAAGTTTATGTAATGTTAAGCACTATGATTTTCTATTTAAGCCGGAGGACTCTGGCACCTATACCTGTGTTGCTAACAATGCTGCAGGTGAAGACGCACACACTGTCAGCCTGACTGTATATGTTCTCCCCACTTTCACTGAACTTCCTGGAGATGTGTCATTAAATAAAGGAGAACAACTACGATTAAGCTGTAAAGCCACTGGTGTTCCATTGCCCAAGTTAACATGGACTTTCAATAACAACATCATTCCAGGTTGGTCATTTAATTCTTATGAAGAGATTACATATAGGACTCTAACCTGAGTTTTATGTCCTGTAGCTATGGGACTGTTTGAGAAATTACCGTGATGAGCTGATTGCTTTAAATCCTGTAAAATGTGCACCTGTGCTTGGATTTTACTCTGTTCCCAGAATATATGTTCTATTCATTCTTTTGGAAAAACAAAAATAAGTTGATCACAGAATCATGTGTAAATAGATATTTTTAAGCAAGAAAATTTATTCTGTAACACATTGTCCTGGTGTAATGCTGTAGGATAAACACTGGACTGCTGTCCTTAAGGTCAGCAGTTCAAACCCACCAACTACTCCTTGGAAGCCCTATACAGGGTTGATATTAGTCAGATCTGACTTGATGGCACTTAACAACAACAGACTTATCCTACATGGGCATGCTTCATCATTAATAAGTAGATTAAGAGATCTACCTTTGGAGTACAGGTTTTTGTTAAGTGCGTCAAGTTGGTTCCGACCCATAGTGACCCTGTATAGGGTTTCCAAGGAGTAGCTGGTGAGCTTGAACCACCAAACTTGTGGTTCAAACGAATTTTACAGTCCAGCACATTAACCCGCAACACCACACCAGGAGTGCTTGGAGTACAGGAGATCCCCCAAGTTTTACAAAGCGAACTCTGCTTCCTACTCTATGAACCATTATCTATTATAAGTATAGATCATTTTATCTAGAAAATTTCTAGTCAACATATACACTACATGTTAAAGTAAACCCTGGAATGCAGTAGCACTTATTCCTGGGAGGACAGTCTACTTACTTATCAAAATTTGTCATTAGCATAATGATGCTGGCAGTTCTTGTCTCCCAAAACTGCATTCTGAAGTACCACATTGTTGTTGTTCAGACTCATAGCGAGCCTGTACAGGGTTTCAGAGGAGCGGCTAGTGGGTCTGAACTGCCAAACTTGCAGCTCAAACTGGCCTTGCAGTCCAGTGCATTATCCTGCAGTGCCACGCCAGGAAGTACTGCATTGTTAGCATTTAATTAAATATCTTGCTAGAAAAGTAATAGTATGTTTGCATTTGTATTATAACAAAGAGCTCTGTTAATAACTGGAATTCATCCATTATATTACCTTAATAACAGCAATAACACATCACTAAGGAGTCCTGGTGTGGCACTGTAGAATAAGCACAGAACTGAAAGGTTAGTTTGAACCACAAGATGGGTGGTTCAAAGTCACCAGCCACTACTTGGAAACCTTATACTGGGTTGCTATGAGTCGGAACTGACTCAATGGCACTTAACAAGAACAGGAATAACAAGGGCCCTGGTGTGGTACTGTGGGCTAAGTACTAACTGGTAACCCCAAGATTGGTAGTTCAAACCCACCAGCTCCACTTGACAACCGTGTTTAGGGTTTCTATGAGTCAGAACCGACTCAACAGCATACAACACCAGCAACAATAAAATATAACAAAATAATGGACTGGCAGTGGCAACAACACTAGACTCAAACATAACAATTCTGAGAATGGTGCGGGACAAGACAGTGTTTCATTCAGCACCAAACAACAACAAGTAATACATAGTCTATAAATACATAATCCATATTGGTTTCAGACACTATAGTACTAATTTAGATTTTACACTTTTAGGGCTTGAATTTCCATGTAACATTCAGTCTTGTTAAGTGCTGTCAAATCAAACCCTGTATAGGGTTTCCGAGGAGGGCTAGTGAGCTTGAACCACCAACCTTGATGTTTAAACTGTCCTTGCAGTGGAGCGCATTAACCCGCAGTGCCAAAATTAAAAATGCAAATTGGATGGGGAAAAACATTCTAAAATATATCTAACATAATGAGACAGTGGCTGGTCGCATCAGAATCTTTTTTAGTGTCACTTGTTTTAGGATTAGTATGTCTACCTTATGTTCTATATCAAATCTTATACTTGCCTTTGTAAGATAAATATTTGTATAACTAACATTTTTGACAAGTTTAAATTATTACAGATTTGAAAATGTTGTCAATATTACATAACTAGCATATGTTTTCTTGGTTTCCTCTCTGACCTGCCAAATTAGTTGAATTATAACTGAAAAAGGTTTCATGTTTTTGATGTAAATTGTTTGGAAGGAAAAGTTGTGGTGAGATAAAAGAAATAGAAAATGTCATGTTTGCAAATGAAAGATATTTGAAAACCAGAAAGACAATGAGTCAGCGTTAAGCAACACTTAGAGTTGAAAGATGTACTTTAAATATAAAGTGCATTTAAAAGATGTTTGAATTCTCTTTTCCTGTTTCTCCTGCTGTTTCTTATTCACCAAACAGGTGGCTATAGTTACAGTAAATAGCTCAGAGGAAAAAATCTTCAATGCCATGCTGAGATCTCTTTGGTTCAGTTGCTAGCTAACTCATAAATCTAACCTGCAAAATATTGGGCTGCCATGAATATTTTCCTGTGTTACTGAGAGGCATTTGTGCTGTTTCTTAACTTGTTTCCCTCAGCCCACTTTGACAGTGTGAATGGACACAGTGAACTTGTTATTGAAAGAGTGTCAAAGGAAGATTCAGGTACTTACGTGTGCACTGCAGAGAACAGCGTTGGCTTTGTGAAGGCTATTGGATTTGTTTATGTAAAAGGTAGGTAAAAGTGCTCTATTGTTTATTTATAATTTATTTGTAATCAAAGGTTTGTGTTTTGCTTCTTTATTTTTTAGCAATAAAACATAATTTTCAGTATGTTAACCCACCCAGTCCTATTTCACAGGTATGCATATTCATGAGAAGTAAAGTATGAACATTCAACTAACACATAGGTAAGCAGTACATATAGAGGCTACCATAAGGTGGAATCATCTATTTATGTTGTGGAAATTGACAAAATTACTTAACTGATTAGCATGAACAGTTGATGCTGGATAATTAATCAGGTCCTAAAGTAACTTTTCTCCTCTTTACTAAATTACCTTTCTAAATAGATTAAAAATCACAAAAACATTATCAGAACTTCTTTTTACATTGTATTTTTCTTATATTATTTCCCAGAACCTCCAGTCTTCAAAGGTGATTACCCTTCCAACTGGATTGAGCCACTTGGTGGTAATGCAATCCTCAATTGTGAGGTAAAAGGAGACCCAGCCCCAACCATTCAATGGAGCAGAAAGGGGGTGGACATTGAAAGAAGTCACAGAATCCGGCAACTCGGCAATGGCTCCCTGGCCATCTATGGCACTGTAGTAAGTCACATTGGAATTAGTGATGTGCATTCAACTGCCCAAACCAACGATCTTCTATGGCAGAGTGTCGCAATGGGAAACGTTTCTCCTACATTCCTTTTCAAATCATAAAATAGGAATCGATGGATTTTTTTAGAAAACACTGAAACAATGCTTACAATAGACATTTTAATCATTTTTAAATTAATAAGGTAATAAGATAATATCATTACTTCATTCTCAGTCATTGATCTTCATTATTATTTAGCATTGGGAGATAACTTCCTCTAATCTGTTTAGAACATGGGAATTGAAGAATTACAACACTTACAAATAAATTATAGGGCAGATTTCATCACTAATCCCATAATTATAGTAAACTTACCCCCAAAACTTCAGTTATTCGAATAATAGTTCCTGAAGTTATTTTCATTTCAGGGCCAACTGAATGACAAATCATGTATAAACATTTCTCAACTACAATATATATGACTAATTTATTTGTTGTTATTGGGTGAAACATTTTAGGCTCTTCTATAGCTTAATTAATGAAAAAATAAACAGTTAATAAAATATACTCTTGAATCACCTAATCCAGTCTTACTTTCCTTGGTTCCACTTCCCCGTTTTGAGATGGTTTCTACCTTCAATTGGTATAACAATAGCTCGCTAGACTCCTTATTACCACTTCTTCCCTTTTTTTCCCACATAAATACTACCATTTCTAAAGTTTTTGGTACTTCTAAAATCCATGTCAATGCTAATATTGAAATTTTGCTGTATAATTTCAACTCCTAAGTATGTATTTCCAACCCCAAACCTCTTCCAACTTTCATTACTAGCTGCCTATTAGAAATTTCTATTTAGATAACACATGGAAACCTTGAATTAAACATTTAATTTAGTATCTATCTTTCCTCTTTCACGCTCCTACAAATTACTTCTCTGCTATTGATTTCCTACTTAATGAGACCAGAATTCTACTGTTTATTAGACCTCGAGAGAAATCTGTGATTCTAATTACTTAACAAATTTAAACTCATCTAGTATTTATTTTCTATACCATATATGTATAAATGTGTGACCTTCTATGACTTATTACTATAAGTAATTTAATTTTTTTTCTTATATTTCAAGCTTTATTAAAAAAATGTTTTTAAATAATCTCCATTTGAAAAGACTCAATATTTGTTTTGTTAATTTTCATGCTTGTTAAGTATCCTATCCATAATAAGACTGGCATTGGTATGTTTCTTTAGTAGGAAGTTCCTGATTAGCTATTATAAAAGAATGTTACTTTTGCTTTGGTTTTCTACCAGTTATTACTTCCAAAGAGGGATGATAGGTTGTTTTTAAATTTTTCATCTGGGAATTTTTTTTCTTTCTATACTTATCTATTTCAATTAAATGCTAAACAACATTCTAATCAGCGGAGAAAAGATGGAAGTTGTCAAGGACTTCATTCTTCTTGGATCAACTATCAACAGTCATGGAAGCAGCAGTCAAGAAATCAAACGACGTATTGCATTAGGCAAATCTGCTGCACAAGACCTTTTTAAAGTGTTGAAGAGCAAAGATGTCAGCTTGAGGATTAAGATGTGCCTGACCCAAGCCATGGTATTTTCAATAACCTCATATGCATGGGAAAGCTGGACAGTGAATAAAGAGGACTGTAGAAGAATTGATGTTTTTGAGTTATGGTGTTGGAGGAGATTATTGAAAGTGCCATGGGCTGCCAAAAGAACAAACAGAACTGTGTTGGAAGAAGTGCAGCCAGAGTGCTCCTTGGAGACCAGGATGGCCAAACTTCGTCTCTCATAGTTCAGACATATGGTCAGGAGGGACCAGTCACTGGAAAGGGAGGGACATCATGTTTGGTCAGGTGGAGGGTCAGAGAAAAAGAGGAAGACACCCAGCGAGATGGATTGTCAGGGTGGCAGCATCAAAGGGCTCAAGCTTGGCAACAATTGTGAGGGTGGTCCAGGACCGGGCAGTGTTTAATTCTGTTGTGCATAGGGTCGCTATTGTTGGTACCAACTTGATAGCACCCAACAACAACAATTAAATGCTTTCTCAGAAATGAAGTTTTATATAAACTCACATCATGATAAAGGATGAATTTTCATGCTCCACAGACCCATATTTTCATAAAACACTTCTTATTTCCATAGAATGATGATGCCGGTGATTATACATGTGTAGCTACCAACGAGGCTGGGGTGGTGGAGCGCAGCATGAGTCTGACTCTGCAAAGTAAGGCATTTAATTAACTCTAATTAAACACTTGATTTAAGAACTGTTGCCTAATAAAGAATGTTCATTTTTCTTAACTTTATAGCAAGTGCATTAATGGTAGCTTTCAGAGTATGTCTAATTTTATTTTCTGCTGCAGATAGAGCAGTTATCACGGAGTATAAAATGGGTTCACTTGCACACAGATATTTCCCTCTATTTTATCTAATATGTGCAGCCCAAAATTGTAGTTGCTTGGTGGCAAATCATTTTTGAGAACCTATAAATCGGGCTGTGAACCTCAAGGTCAGCAGTTCGAAACTACCACCTGTTCCGAGGGAGAAAGAGGAGGCTTTTTGCTCCCATAAAGATTTACAGCATCGGAAACTCTGTGCAGGGTCGCTCTGAGTCTGAACTGACTGCACGACACATAACCATCACCACCATCAGTGGATCAAGGAGCTCTGGTAGCATAGTGGTTACGAATCGGGCTGCTAACCTCAAGGTTGGCAGTTCGAAACTACCAGCTGTTCCGTGGGAGAAAGATGAGGCTTTCTGCTCCCATAAAGACTTACAGCCTCGGAAACCCTGTGTAGGGTCACTCTGAGTTGGAACCGATTCCATGGTACTTAACAACAACAACCATCAGTGGATTACTCTTCTTGTAGCTTACTATAGTTCTTGCAACACACTTAAAAAGATATTATTTTATGCCATCTTAAAAATATTTATTACAAATAAAACTAATGTAAATAGGTTCAAAAGTGATCCAGGTCATTGCTATCAAGTTTCTATGAATTAACTTGGTGGCCTGAATGGAATCCTCATGCTCATTGTGAAACCCCTCTGTAAAAGTCATAGAAAAAACAGAACTTTTATACTTAAAAAAACGTAAACAACTTCCAACAGTCCAGGCAATGGCCTGCAGTGATGGATTGAGATTGTAAGCAAACCAAGTTATGATATGAATGTTTGTTGTTCTTCAGTGCCATTGGGTAGGTTCTGACTCATATGTTCTTAAGTGCCATTGAGTCATATCCAACTCACAGTGACCCTGTAGAGGGTTTCTGAGGGTGACTCGTGGGTTTGAACTGCCACCTTTTGATTGTTTCAAGGTGAGGCTGATGGGTTCGAACTACTGACTTTGCGGTTAGCACGGTCAAGTGCTTATCCTACAGTGCCACACCAAGACTCTTATTCTGTGAATAGGATCAGGACTTAATGAGATAAATGTATGTTTGCTTTATTCACTGTTAAAAGATGCTTATATTTAGTAATACTTTTTAAAAATAATATATTATTGTGTTTTGAGGGGAGGTTTGCACAGGAGTTTAATTTACTATTCAACAATCTTTTTACAGTTGTTCAGTGACATTCTTCACAGTGCATGAACAGTTTCCCGATTTCCTTTCTGGCTCTTCCATTAATCTAGTTTCCCTGGTCCTTTATATTCTCATCTTATTTTTAAGTAATTGTTGACTGATCTCATATAGGTGATTTTTTTAAAGGAGTACTGTACTGACAGGTGACATTCATTATTTTTTAAGCCAATTGTTTTCTAAATATAAGGTGAATTTATGGATTAGTTTTAGTTCGGGTGTGAAGAATATTCCAATGCAATAGTCTTGAGGAGTCTTATAGTCTCAATCAGTCCATCACTGTTGTTGTTGTTAAGTGCCATCAAGTAATTTTCAACTCATAGGGACCCTGTATAGGGTTTCTAAGGAACAGCTAGTGAGTTTGACCTGCCGACTTAGTGGTTCAAACTGACCTTGTGGTTCAGTGATTATCCTACAGTGCCACACCAGTTCAGTAGGTCTGGTATTTTGTTGTTGCTGTTGTTTTAAGCAATTGGAGGTTCTGTTCCACATTTTTCTTCCATTCTCCCAGGGTTCATCTTTTGTGGCCCTGATTGGATAGTTGGTAGTGGTAGCTGGACACCATCTAGTTTTATTCCATGAGACTTTTAATAACTAATAGACATTTAATTTAATGGATATATGAGAAAGTGTTTTATTGAAGTACATATCTATCAAATAACAACCTGTGGAGTGTTATTAGGGGGGAAAGTGGGATTCCATGATCTGAAAAGCCTAAAAAGATGGATTAAACAAAGTTCATCATTTATTAAAATGCTATGCTAGTAGATGTTCTGGTTTGGTGCTGTGGGTTAATGGACTGTACTGTACTGCAAAGTTGGTTTGAACCACAAGGTCGTTGGTTCAAATTCACCAGCTGCTCCTAGAAAACAACTATGGGCTGGACCTGACCCAAAGGCACTTAACAACAACTACAACTATGGTAGTAAGGATCCCTGATAGTGTAATGATTGTATGTTGGGCTGCTAATTCCAAGGTTAGCAGTTCAAATTCACTGGCAGAAAGATTAGGCTGTCTGCTATAGGGAAGATTTACAGCCTCGGAAACTCTTTACAGGGTCACTATGAGTTGGAACCAACTCCACAGCACATTACTACACTACTACCATGCTAGTAGCAGTTGTTGTTAAGTGTCATCAAGTCCGTTCCAACTCATGAACACCCCATATAGTGTTTTTGAGGAGCGGCGAGTAGATTTGAACCACCAACCTTTTGGTTCAAACTGACCTTGCAGTCCAGTGCTTATCTGGTTGCACTACACTAGGACTTCATTTTGTGAACAGGATTGGGATTTGATAAGATAATTATTCACTGTTTATATATTTAGCCTAATAGTAGTTATATGCTTGAGTCAGTACCGACAAGTCATTTCTGACTCAAAATGACACTTTATAGAGATTTTAAGGAGCCTGGTGGGCTAAAACCATTGACCTTGGGGTTAGCAGTCCAGTACTTATCCTACAGCACTATACCACAACTCCATTTTCCACTATAGATCCTGTTAACCTCTCCTTTTATCTTGAGACCCCTTGTTTGACTGGCAGAATACCATTTTTTCTTATTTTCTTTCTACCTCAGAGATGAAATCTTAATGTCATATGTAAATTTGTCTTTAATCAGCCCCTTACCTATTGATGTTATGTTCTAGTAGTTCCTTTCTTTGCTTCTCGTCCTCTCATTTCAGTCTCTGGTCTGAAGCAATATTATCTACCCATGAAAGACTCACAAATCTACATTTCGAGCCCATATATCTAGTCTGAGTTCCAGACATGAATATCTATCTGCTTTCTAAACATCTCTACATGAATGTCCTCAGATACTTCAAACTCAACCATCCAAATGGACACACATCATCATTCCTCACTCTTCCCCTAAAATTGTTCTTTTTCTTGAATCTTTCCAACCAACACTATATTGTCCAAATCAAAACCAATTGTTGTTAAGTGCTGTAGAGTCGATTCTGACCCATAGCGATCTTATACAGTGTTTGTATCACACACAAAACAAAACAAATATATTTCTGGAGGCCAGGAGTCCAAAATCAAGGCATTGGCATGATTAATTCCTTTAGGGAGCTCTAAAGAGAAATCTGCTCCATGCTTTCCTCCTCACATCTGATGTTGTTTGTGTTAAGCACCATCGAGTCAGTTCTGACTCACAGAAACCCTGTATAGGATTTCCAAGGAGTAGCTAGCTGTTACGTTTGAACCACTGACATTATGGTTCAAACCAACCTTGCAGTCCAGTGCTTTATCCTACAGCACCACACTAGGACTCCAAAGAAACTATAGTGATTGTGTTATACATGATAAAATGTTACTACAAACCCACAAAAACTAAATAACATTTTTGTGCTTCTTTTAATAGGTCCTCCTACTATCATTCTTGAACCAGTGGAAACTGTTATCAATGCCGGTGGCAAAATCATATTGAATTGTCAGGCAATTGGAGAGCCTAGTCCAACTATTTCGTGGTCCCGTCAAGGGCGGTTTATCCACTGGGATGACCGAATTAATGTGTTGTCCAACAATTCTTTATATATTGCTGCTGCTCACAAAGATGATACCTCTGAATATGAATGTGTTGCTCGAAACTTGATGGGTTCTGTTCTTGTCAGGGTACCTATCATTGTACAGGGTAAGTGGATCAAGGACATATTCATATTGTACAACATATGGAATGCCCAAATTATAAGACTTTTAAAGCCTCTTAGTCCAAATCTCCTTTATCCTTAAGATAACACTACATTATGGGGACAGGAAAGAATCACATTACAATTTACAGACTAAAACAATCCATATTGGAGCTTTGAAATGCCAAATTAATCAGTTAAAATCCCAAACTATTTTTTTTTATTAAAAAGTAAATCAAATGTATCCTGAGACCAATGCCTATATTTCTCTTTAAAGAATGATTTCTCTCTAAAAGATATCCAATATATTAATTTCTTGTTCTCTAATACTTACAGCAGCCATGTTCATGTGAGTCAAGGTTAGGACTGGAAAGAAATTCTAGTCAACTGTTGGGAAGTTTTTTCTTGCTATTAGTAATTTGACAGTAAAGGAGAGCTGCAATTTCTCAGTAATTACAGATTCAGCTCTAGGCCCTGTGCTTATCTTCAATAAACTGAGATTTATAATTTTTATCTATAAAAACTGAGACAAAAGGCAATATTTTATTTGCAGTTCATGGTGGGTTTTCCCAATGGTCTACATGGCGATCCTGCAGTGTTACCTGTGGTAAAGGTATCCAAAAGAGGAGTCGTCTGTGCAACAACCCCCTTCCAGCCAATGGTGGGAAGCCTTGCCAAGGTTCAGATTCGGAAATGCAAAACTGTCTAAATAAACCATGCCCAGGTATGTCTCTTTATTCAACTAATAAGTATGTGTTTAATAGACATTTGTTTCTTGTTCCTAACTTGCCTTAGTATTATACTTTAAATCAAAATATATCTGATGGGGTAATTCATTATTCATCTTTGAATAGTGGATGGCAGTTGGTCAGAATGGAGTTCTTGGGAAGAATGCACAAGGAGCTGTGGACGTGGCAACCGCACCAGGACTAGAACTTGCAATAATCCATCAGTGCAACATGGTGGACGGCCATGTGAAGGGAATGCTGTGGAAATAATCATGTGCAATATTAGGCCTTGCCCAGGTGGGTGTCTTCCAATAATATGAGATCTTCAAAAATGTTATCATTTTAAGTCCTCTAAGTAAAGGTTTCAAATACCTTTACTTTTTGTTATAAAAAGACAATGCAACATCTACCCTTGAATATATTCATTTTTTGTGTGTTCTTAGCTGTACCTTGTGGATAAACTTGTAGAAATATGGCATTAATCATTGTTAAGTAAAATAAATTATTTTGCTAAACATGATACATGCTCCAAACTTTGGTATGTTTTTTTCACCCATGTAGAGAAAACGTAAGTAATTGTCATCAACCTTTCTAAATACAGACTTTGTTGTTAGCTGCCATTGAGTTGGCCCCACCTCATGGTGGTCCTGTACATAATGGAATGAAAAGCTGCCTGGTCCTCTGCCATCCCCATGATCTGTTGCAGATCAGATCATTGTGTGATTCCCCATAGGGTTCTCATTAGATGATTTTTGGAAGTAGATCAGTAGTTTGTCGTAGTCTGAAAGTTCTGCTGAAACATACTCAGCATCATATCCACACTCAAGCCTCCAATGACAGACAGATGGGAGCTGTGCATGAAGTGCAATGGGTAGAAATTAAACCCACATCTCTTGTCTGGAAGACCAGAATTCTATCACTGAAGCAGCTCTACCTTGGTAACATAAACCAGCCATTTTAGGGGGGATAGTATGGTGTTGTGGGTTAATGCACTGAACTCAAGGTCACTTTGAACTGCAGGATTGGCAGTTCAAGCTTCCCAGCCACTCAGAAACCCTATACAGGATCACTATGAGTCAGTACCAACTCAATGGCATCTAATAACAGCAACAACAAAGAGATTGAGGACTTTCCCAGAAATATACAACAGGTGAGGGATAAAATAATATGGCTAGCTGAAAGGTTGGCCATTCAAACCCACTCAGAGGTGGTTTGAAAGTAAATCAGTCTGCTTACAAAAGATCACAGCTTTGAAAACCCTATGGAGTAGTTCTCCTCTGTCACATGATGTCCAGGAGTCAAAATCAACTTCACAGAAATCAGTGATGATTCACTAAATGCCTATTGTATACTAGAAACTCTGATGTTGTTCTTGTTAAGTGCCATAGAGTCAACTGCAACCCATAGCAACCCCATGCGATAGAGTAGAATGGCCCCATGGGGTTTTCTTGGTTGTAATCTTTACAGAAGCAGGTCTTTCTCTTGTGGAGCCACTGACTGAGTTTGGATTGCCAACTGTTTACTTGGCAACTGAGTGTTTAACCATTTGCACCACCAGAGCTCCATGCTAGATACTTTATACACATGTTCTTATTGACTTTTAGATGAAAGTGACTGCAGTGTAACTAAACTTAAGTTGAAAATTGTGTCTTTGGGTATGATTGGATCCAAGGATTGGATTCAGGTATGGCTGAATCCAAGTTTTTACTAGCGTGTTTTATATCTTTCATCTCTGATTTCCTTTCTTTCACAACATTTATTTTGCAATAAACTCTCCATGTGGTAGAAAGTATCATTGTTGTCAACCACAAGCTCACAGAGGAATCCTGGTATGGCACTGTACAATAAACATTGAACTGCTAACCAAAAGTCAGCAATGCAAGCCCACCAACCACACCTTGGAAATCCTATACAGAGTCACTATGAGTTGGAACTGATTCAACAATAAAAACATCAGGCTTACAGGGGCTTTATAGTCTGAGGCTTCAGAGTGAAAAGGAAATTCTCTCTTAATATTCATCTCAGACCCTAAGAAAGAATTCCACTTGGCTCTGCTTCTCTTCAAGCGAAGTGTGTTTTGATATCCAACTGAGACTGCTTGCCTACTTTGCGGCAACAGTGACAGGATTCCTTGTTTGGCAGCACAAACAGCAGAATTGTGAAATAGTAGAGGAACTGTTTGTTTATTCATTCATCCAACAAATATTTATCACGCACCTATTTTGTCTCAGAGACAATTTTTCTAAGTGCTGAAACAATAAAGATATACAAAACAGACAATATTTTCCAGATATTGATAAACAGGCTGGAATTTTTATCAACGAGTTGAAGTTATGGAGCCCAACTGGGAGAGACAAGTTAGCTGGAATTGTCAAAAAAGAATGGATGTAGACAGACCAAAAAGTCTGCTGCATTGGGTATTCAGAAAACAAATGTAAAGCAATTCACTGAGATTACATACTTAGTAAAAAGTAAATCAGGATTTTGAACCCAGTGTGATTTGATTTTCATACCTATTCTCGTGGGTCCTGGGTATCCTGATTTACAGTTCAGAACTTCCATTATATGAGAAAACAAACCAACAAAATACTGTCATGAAATCTTGAAGAAAATAAAAGTCCGGTTTGTTGTAGTCATGAGAAATTAAAAACTTTAATAGCATAATATTTGAGAGTAAAATGAGCCAGAAATACCTGATTAGAGCAAGTTTTGTACAAATGTAATGAAAATCTAAAGGATACTTGTAAATGTTCTAAAATAAATCAGCTTGTATTCCTTTTCAGGTTCAGTAAATAATGGCTTACTATTGATTTGCTTGCTGACTGCCATTTTGCTTACTATTTTCTTGATTTACTATCTAACTGGCTTTCTTTTGTTATGCCCCTAAGCAATAAAAGTGATTGCATTTAGCCATGTTTTTGATTTAATGTCACTGGTGTTAGGGAACTAATCAATGAAAGTAGCTGTGCATATCTCTTCCAAACTAAAAATTTGGTTATATTTTATTGGCAGTTAGATATCCACCATACTGGGATTATTTACACCAGTGAAATTAGCAAATGCTATCTGGTATGGCACTGTAGGATCAGCACTGGACTTTGAACCACAATGTTGGCAGTTCATACTCACCAGCTGTTTTTCAGAACCCTTATTTAGGGTTGCTATGAGTCAGAACTGACTCAACAGCACTTAACAACAACAACAGAACAGAGGATTATTCCCCCAAGCTGATTGTTAACCATTTATCAGCACAGCATATGAAGTGCACAGATAGCTGAAGATAGACATTCTCAATCAAGGGACTGTCAGAGTCTTAGAAGCAAAAGAGATTTTCTTTTAGTGCTAATTTATTTTTATAATGTCAATCCTATAGAATTGTTGCAAGAATAATGCACCATGTTGTGTATTTCCTAAAACATGAACTTTCTCTTACATAAACCCAGTGTTGTTGTTATTGTTGTTGTTGTCGGTTTTGACTCATAGCAACCTCAAGGACAACAGAGCAAAACACTGCTGGTCCTATTCCATCCTCACAGTTGTTATGCTTGAGCCCTCATCATTGCTGCTGCCACTGTGTTAATCCATCTTGTTGGGCTTCTTCCTCTTTTTCTCTGACCCACCACTTTACCAAACATGTTGTCCTTCTCCAGGGACTGGTCCCTTCTGATAATATGTCTGAAGTATGAGAGACGATGTCCAGCCATTCTGGCATCCAAGGGGCATTCAGGCTGTACCTCTTCCGATTTGTTTGTTTTTCTAGCAGTCCATGATACTTTTAATATTCTTCTCCATCATCATAACTCTAATACATCAATTTTTTGGTGGTCTTCCTTATTCACTGTCCAGTTTTCACATGCATATGAGACAATTGAAAATACAATGGGTTGGGTCAGGTCCACTTTAGTACTCAAACTGATATCTTTGCTCTTGAACCCTTTAAAGAAGTCTTGTGTAGCAGATTTGCCCAGTGCAATATGTTTGATTTCTTGATTGCTGATTCCATGAGTAATGATAGTGGATCCAAGCAAAATGAAGCATTTGATAACACAGTACAGTTACCAAAATTGGAAATTTTAACACTGGAATAATATTATTATCTAATTCACTTGTCTAATAGAGTCCCTGAGTGGCACAGATGCTTGCAAAAGTTTGGCAGTTCAAGCCCACTCACAGGATTCTTTGAAGACAGACTTTCCTATCTGCTTCCAAAGACTCAGCATCTTGAAACCCTTGTGGAACAGTTATTGTTTGCACACACGTCTCTTCATTAATTGGAATTAACTTGATGGCAATTAACAACAACACCTACCTATAATCTACCAAGTTCTGGTGTGTCACTGTAGGATAAATACTGGACTGCTAACCAAAATGTCTGTGGGTCAAACCTACCAACTGCTCCTTGGAAACCCTATATAGGGTCACCATGATTCAGAACCGACTCAAAGGCACTTAACAGAACATAATCTAATACTATTATCTAGCCCACAGGCTATATTCACATTTTGTCATTTGTCCCTGTAATATCCTTTATAACTTCTGTTTGTTTGTTTTGCCAAACACATTTCATTTATTTGTCTTATCTCTTTTGTCTTTTCTGGAACAGTTTCTCAATATTAATTTTTATTACCTTGACATTTTTGTAATGCATAAATCAACCATTTTGTAGAATCATCTTCAGTTTGGGTTAATTTGATATTTCCTCTTGATTGGAATTAGGATTTGCATTTTGGCAGGAAACCCACATAAATGATTTTGTGCATTATATCAGAAGGTTGTCGTTGTTAAGTGCCGTCAAATTGGTTCCTACTCATAGCAACCCTGTATCGAATTTCCAAAGCTGTAAATCTTTGCTGGGGCAGAAAACCTCCTGTTTCTCTTATGGAGCACATGGTGGGCTCAATCTACTGACCTTGTGGTTTCCAATCCAGTGCTTATCCTACAGAGCCACCATGCTCCTAGTTCAGAAGGTACATAGTCTCAATTTTTCCCATATTGGTGATTCCAAGTTTGATTTAAGGTGATTTCTGGGTTTTTTTGCTTTCATAATTAGTAAGTATTTTGTAGGGATATTTTGAGACAATACAAGTATAAACATCATGTTTCTCACTGAACTTTCATCCACTAGTTTTAGCGTCTATAGTTTTGCTTGAATCAGTTAGAACTGTGGTCTTTACAGGAATTATGTTCTTATGTCATAATCTTTTATACATTTTATTTTAATGAAGAGCATTTCTCTTTCCTGTTTCTCTATATTTTGATTTATGTCAAAAAGCACAGGTATTATTCCATTTGCTTATAATTCACTACTATCACTTGTTATTCTGATATTCAAGTTGTTTCAGGTTTGGTTAATGGAGGTCCCTTTATACCAGCTCCAGTGCCTTTTTGATGTGTCCTCATGATTCTTTGAGCACTTCTTTACTCTCTAATGCAAATAGTTATTTCAAACACATCTCGTGCTTTCCCTGCCATCTACTTGGTTCCAAGTCATTGTTACCCAATGTAAAACAGAGTGAAACACTGCCTGGACCTTACTCATAATTGTTGTTATGTTTGAGCCCATTGTTGCAGCCACTGTGTTAATCCAAGTTGCTGAGGGTTTTCCTCAACTATACTAACCATGATGACCTTCTCCAAGGGTGGTCCTCCCAATAACGTATCCAAAGCACAAGAAGTGAAGTCTTGTCATACTCACTTATAAGGAGCATTCTGGCTGTACTTCTTTCAAGACAGATTTGCTTGTTCTTCTGGAAAGTCCATGGTACTTCCAATATTCTTTGCTAAAACCATAATTCAAATGCAGCAATTCTTCCATTATCATTCTTATTCATTGTCCAAGTTTCACATGCATATGAGGCAACTGAAAATACTATGACTTGGGTCAAGAGCTCTTTAGTCATCAAAGTAACATCTTTATCTTTTGCTGAAGATTTAACCAATATAATACATCATTTGATCCATAAACTCGAACATTATTTGTGGATCCAAGTAAAATGAAATTCTTGACAACTTCAATCTTTAGTATAGAATATGCCGATTGCCATTGAGTTGATTCTGACACATAGCAGTCCTGTATAGGGTTTCCAAGACTGTAAATCATTATGGGAGCAGAAAGCCTCAGGTTTCTTCCATGTAGGAGCTGTTAGGTTTGAACTGCTGACCTTGGGTTTGAAGTGCTTATCTTACAACATCACCTTTTAGTATCAAATACAACTTAAAAAATAAGATCTGTGACTTAGACTCCAGCGGACAGAGTAAGGATATTTTATGTATGTGTATGAATATATATTTATATTTGGTCTCTGGGTGGTGCAAACTATGAACTTAAAAGTTGGTCGTTGGAACCCAGAGGTGCCAGAAAACTTGGTAGTTTACTTCAGTAAGGATTATAGTCAAGAAGGCTTATGAAGCAGCTCTACTTTGTAACACAAGGAGCTCTGGTAGCATAGTAGTAATGAGTTGGGCTGCAAACCTCAAGGTCAGCAGTTCAAACATCCAGCTGTTCCACAGGAGAAAAATGTGGCTTTCTGCTCCTGAAAAGATTTGCAGCCTCGGAAACCCTATACAGGGTTGCCATGAGTCAGAACCCACTATGCAGCACATAACCACCACCCAGCACTCTGTAACACATCAGGTCACCATGAACTGGAATCAACCTGACAGCAATGGGTTTGTTTTTTGTTTGTTTTGTTTTTGCTTTTGTGAGCAGTGCAAATGGTTAACAAGCTTAGTTACTAACTGAAAAATTCAAGTCCACACAGATGTGCCTCTGAAAAAAGGACTGGTGATTTACTTCTGAAAAATCTGTTAAAGAGTGATGGGAAAATTGAAATAGACAATGGTGACAGTTGTGCAACTTAATGATTACAATGAATGTTATTAAATTGTACATGTTAGAATTTGAAATGGCCAATGTTTTGTTATGAAGGTGAGTCAAAACTTATCCACACTCTGGCTGTAGAATTTATTTTAACCAACTTTTATAAAAAACAGATACCTCAGTTTCCAACATAATCTACTTGTTTTATAATATTCTTTGTTCATCTCAACAAGCTTTTTTATTCCTTGAGTAAAAAATGTTTTAGGTTGAGCTGTGACCAACAGATGCACTGCTGTCTTCATGTCTTCTCAGAGGTGAACCTTCATCCTTGAAAGGCTGCTTTCAGGGGACCAAGCAAGTGACAGTCCGATGGAGCAAAATCAGGACTATAGGGAGGATGGTTTAACACATCAAAATGAAGTTTTTGCAGAGTGTCTACAGTGTAGGCAGAGGTGTGGGGATGTACACTGTCATGCAAGATCCTAAAGCCCTTGGATAGCAGTCATCTGCAGTTAATCAGAAGTTTAGGCTTCAGCTCTTGCATGAGCATTTCACAGTAAGGAGTGCTGTTGATTGTTGAACCTTTTTTCTTGACAGTGTTCCAATAGTGGCCCTTGAGAATCCCAGAAAACTGTAAGCACCAATTTTCTAGCTGATGATTGACTTTTAGACTTTTCCTTGATTGGTGGTTGAGGATATTTCCATTCCATACTCTGACATTTAGTCTCAGACTTGTAATGGTGAATCCATGTCTCATTACCAGTAGTGATTTTTTTTAAGAAACTTTTACCTTTCTTTGAGTATTGGTTCAATTTTTTTTGCAGATGCCCAAACACTTCTGTTTATGCTTTTCTGTGAGTTGTTTCAGTATCCATCTTGCAAAACACTTTTCAAAACTCAAATCTGTCATGTATTATTTCATAGGCAGATCCATGATTGATTTGCCATATAATCCATTGTCACTCATCTCTTTGGCAGAATCATTTTACGTACATTCTAAATATTGTCATCAGCTGTTGATGTGGACGGGCGTTTTAATATAACCAGAGTGCAGATAATTTTTGATTCGCCTCATAGGTACATATTTACTATACCCACACACAAAACTTCAGTCACTCAAAACTTTCTGCAATACAGATCTACTCTGACTCAAACGGGGTCAGAGTCAACTCAATGGCAACTCAATATTGAGGATTATGAGCATCGGCAATTTGAGTTAATTCAGAAGTAGGTTTGGGTAATGTTGTTGTTGTTAAGTGCTGTCGAGTTGATTTTGACCCACAGTGACCCTATAGGGTTTCCAAGAGCTGCTGGTGAGCTTGAACCACTGATGTTGCAGTCCAGATGATTTTGCAGTCTGACACATTAGCCCACAGCACCATAGCTGCCATATATGTAAAGGTTTTCATCCCTTAACTTTGTATTGTAAATTGGTTGAAGGTTTGCAGAGCAGATAGATCATCAGTTTTACATTCCACAAATCATACACTTCGTTTCATCTCATTGACTGCAGTCCTCTCAATGGAACGTCACTTATCCTACTTCTTCATGGCGTTTTTTGTTTCCACTTTGCCTTCTTTCCCAACCCTTTTGAACTTTGTCCTTGGGTAAATGCTGCCCTTTTGATCTATAGTGGTGAATCTTTCTATGATATATGTACCTCACTAGTATTGTTGTTCCCCCTATAGACTTATCTGTTTCCTGGCGGAAAATTAAGCCATGGGAGTGAGTTCCATTCCAGACCTGAAGAGTGAACAACAGTCATACTTTCAGAGTTTCACCAGTTTCTGTTTGACCATAAAGCCTGTTTTTTTTCATTGTTGTTGTTGTTTTATGATACTGAGTTTTGACATACATTTTCTCCCACTCTATCCAGGGCCTTCTCATGTGATAATTTTCAGGATAGTTGGTAGTGGTATAGCCAGGCACATCTAGTTCTTGCTTGTTTCAGGGTCATGGAGACTGAAGTTCATATGGTCCATTAATCCATTGGACTAATTGTTCCCAAGCATCTTCAATTTTCATCACTCTTCTTTCCTCCAGAAAGGGAGAGACCAATAGTTGCATCTTAGATAGCTGTTCCTAAACTTTTAAGACCCCAGTCACTACTCACCATAGTAGCTTGTAGAACATTGTCTTTGTGGATTATGTAATGAGGCTTTCATCTTTACCTTTTATATTTAACCAAATATATTTTTAGTACAACTTCTTGCTAGCTAAAATGGATTTGTGTGCTTATGTTTTTATGTATCTATTACGTAGTAGGATAGCTAGTAAACTCAATCAGAAATAAGTTCATTAAAAGAAAATCCAATCTATATTTTAAAATGTTATCTCATCAATAGTAATAATGTCATTACTTGGTTTAAGGTTTACTGTTATAGCATCTTATAGGTAGTGTTAAGAGCATTTTTTAAACAGGATCTTAGAGCCCCTATTTTAGTTCATGTCTTGGTTAAACCAGGTAACAAAGGAAAAAAAGCACACTTTGTGAACCCCATATCCAGAATATTTCCACAAAATAAAAATATGACCTGCTACTGACTTATACTTAAGAGAAAGCGTAGTGTTGATTCTTAGCATGCACCTGGTAGAAAACATAAGATTGTTCCAGTCTTGTGGTCAGATGTCGTAATATGTTAGTTACCCAAAGGTCTTAATATCACTCTTCGGAAACTGCTGGTCAGATTTTTCTGTTGTTTAGGAAGCAGGTAAGTGTGTTAGTCAGAAGTGCATTAACTTCATGAGCACTATGTAATGGCGAAAGTTTTCAAAGAGTTATAACTGTGCAAATCATCATGTTGTTAAAAGATCCAAGTACATATTCAAGTATAAAAACAAATTAGGCTTAAAGATGTGTTCTTGCAGTCTGGGGTCCAAGTTATTATTTTGATATATAAGTTAAAATATTGATATTGTCCATAGCTATCTTTAGAAGTCTTTACAACCTTGCTCCTAATTGCTTTACATTCTCCAGAACACAGACAAATCCTCAGTTAGAATTTAAGCACTCAGATTTTTTTCTACACATGCAAGTTTGACTACATCTACTTCTATTAAAATAACCCCTTTGAATAATTTTAACTGTTTATGTTGGCATTAGTCAGCCTTCTGAAAGTCTGTATCGACACAAGTCTCCATGAAAATATAGCCTGAAGGAGAAAGGAAGAACATCATTTGTTTCCTTTGGTCTAATTTCAATTCTTTTAGATTCTGGATGAATTTAACTCATGACTGAATTAATTTATTTGTGTAATTTCACTTGTCTTTTAAGCAAACATGGTTCTGTGACCTGAACGTCTATCTCTTGTGGTGTTTGTAGTTCATGGAGCATGGAGCAGTTGGCAACCTTGGGGTTTGTGCAGTGAAAGTTGTGGGAAAGGTACCCAGGTGAGAATGAGGTTGTGCAATAACCCCCCACCATCATTTGATGGATCCTACTGTAATGGAGCAGAAACACAGATGAAACTTTGCAACGAAAGACACTGTCCAGGTAAGAGAAATACAATATTCTTATCTTTAATAAATGTATATTTATTTCTTATCAAGATAAGGAATGCAACAGTTTAGTGTTTAGCTGGGAATACAAAGTTTGACAGTTAAAACATACCAAGTAGCTCTGGAGGGCAAAGCTCTGACAGTCTGTGTTCATAAAGATTATAGCCAAGAAAACCCTATGAGGCAGTATTCTACTTGGTCTCATGAGGTGGGCACCAGATGGTTCAAAGACACCCAACAACAATTTATCGAGATAGTATATCAGTGAGAATTTATTACTTTCTGACTATGTTCTACAAGAGCATCACTCAGCCTAACAATGTCCAGAATTTTGTTTGATCACATGTAAATAGTAACACACAATGTTTTTCCTTAAAACCAGTTGATGGCAAGTGGGCAACATGGGCCAGTTGGAGTTCCTGCACTGTATCCTGTGGAGGAGGTGCCAGGCAGAGAACGAGAGGCTGTTCTGACCCAGCCCCCCAGTATGGAGGAAGCAAATGTGAAGGCAGTGATGTCCAGAGTGATTTTTGCAATAGTGACCCTTGTCCAAGTGAGTGTTGGAAATAGTGAGTCACCATTATACTTCCTTAAAGTTTCCTTAAGTCCTTAAAATTAAAATATTCTCTTACTTCGTTCTTTGATTTAGGATATCAAATTATTGTATGTTTGTTGTAGTGGCTATATAATACCATAGATGTCGCTGATTTATATGGGGAGGGACTTTGTCCTATTTCATTTGTTTTATATAAGACAAACTGAAGAGTAAGTGCAAGGTCAGAGAACCTTTACATGCTAACTAAACAATGCTGATGATTCCTAATGAAGGCAAGCAAACAGCTATTTGCCTTAATTCAATCACTGAACTATATTTTTAGATCCTATAGTAGCAAGGTAATATCTGGAAATATCTATCTTGAATGCTCTAGCTATAGCTCATTGAGGACAGAGACCTTGTCTCATTCATACCTTCCAACTTCTAGAATAGTTTAAGACTCAATCAATGTATATTAAATGGAATGTACACCAGTTTCTAATAAAAACAACAGCTAAACCGTCTGCCTTTGGAAGTTGCCTATTCATAGATTTGCATATTTTCTTTAAGTTCCTGAAGGGAGATTTCCCATACCTCTTAGATGAATATCATCATTTAGCACTTATCATTTATTTATAGTGCTTTATTATCATGCCAAATGATTTTGTGTTTGTAGCTCATGGTAACTGGAGTCCTTGGAGTAGCTGGGGGATGTGCAGCCGGACGTGTAATGGAGGGCAAATGCGGCGGTACCGCGCATGTGACAACCCTCGTCCCTCCAACGGAGGGAGAGCTTGTGGGGGGCCAGACTCTCAGATCCAGAGATGCAACACTGACACGTGTCCTGGTGAGCTTTGTAATTCTTGGCAGTAGAATAAGTGTTTTAGTCTGGGTCCTCTAGAGAAGCAAAACCAGTGCAGTTTATAGCTATCTATATCTGTAGATATAGATATAGACATATCAGTATAGAGAGAAGATTATATGATTATATCAAGGAAATTATATAGTTGTAGGGGCAAGCAGATTCCCAGTCCATCAGTCAGATGATGTCAGGCTGGCGTCAGATGTCAGGTAGGAGCTGATGAACCCAAGATTAGCTGATTGGATGGCAAGTGTCTGGCTACACAGACAAATGAATCCAAGGTCAGCAGGCAAGATGGCAGGTTACTGATGATTCCCAAGATGGGTAGGCAGTACAGCAGTCCAAAGAACCAGAGATCAGATGATAAACCAGATGCAGGATCCAGACATTTATCTGAATGTGCAATAGATTGGAAACAGGCCACTCCTTCAAGGAAACTTCCTTTCAGTTAACAGACTGCTCATATCAGATCTTATCATTGGGAATTACTATGTCATAACTATACTACTGAGAATCCTGGCCCAATCAAGTTGACACAAAACCTTAATTATCATAACAAGTAAAGAATTTCATTTAGTGCTTATTATAGCCACCCATCCATTCAGATCTTAAAATAGAAGTGGACTAAGTAAAGTCACCACAAGTGATGACTTCAAAACCAGCGGATTAGTATTGACCACTGCATGCTTGTTCACAGTGGATGGAAGTTGGGGAAACTGGCATAGTTGGAGCCGGTGCTCTACCTCTTGTGGAGGAGGTGAAAAGACTCGAAAACGGCTGTGCAACAATCCAGTGCCATCTAGAAATGGTCGCCAATGTGCAGGAGATGCTACTCAGGTATCCAGATGCAATATACAAGCATGTCCAGGTAAGTAATTAAATTAGACCTTGAAGGGAAACTGGATGCAAATTGGAGACTTGGTTAAAATTACAAAAAGGTATCACTATGAGTCCATAAATTACAAAGTTATACCAACTCTTGGTGGAAGCACTAGGGGGGAAAAAAGAGTTCCTTTTTTTTTTTACTGCTTAGTATAGTTCTGCATCAAGGCTTATAAATGGGTTTTAGCTTCTGCTTAATGGTTATGAATCAGGCTGCTAATCTCACAGTCAGCAGTTCAAAACTACCAGCGGTTCCGCGGGAGAAAGATGAGGCTTTCTGCTCCTGTAAAGATTCACAGCTTTGGAAACACTATACAGGGTCGCTATGCGTGGACTCCATGGCACATAACAACAACAATAACAACTGCCTTCTAGGATCCCTTATGTAAGACCACAGTATACATAGTAATAATGATTGTTTGTTAAGTGCCATCGAGCCGGTTCTCACCCATAGCAGCCCTGTATAGGGTTTCCAAGGAGCGGCTGGTGAGCTTGAACCACCAACCTTATAGTTCAAACCAACTTTGCAGTCCAGCACATTAACCCACAGTGCCACATCAGGACTCCAGTCATAATGGTAGTCCTAAGCATAAAAGATAAAAGGTCAAGAGAGAGCTAGGAAATCAATGCTGAGTTTCCAGAATCAAGGTGAAGGTAGTGCACAGAATAAAGATTTAAGAGAAGGCTACAATTGAACGCTGAACATCCGTGGGTGAACACAAGTGTAGAGAACACAACAGGGCCCCATTCAGTCAACAAGAAAGAGCAGGGAGAGTTCAAGAACCATAGCCTAAATCCTATAACACTCTTAGATATTTTAAATGATGTAAAAATGCAGATGGAACAAATTCGGAATTCTAGAACTTTGGGATCTTAGAGTTTGTTAGGGTCCAAGATACGGTGGATAATTTTGAGGGTACTTGTGTCAGAGGATGGATTTCTAGGAGCTGTAATGAGACCAACAAGTTTCATATCATTTAAGTATCAGCACACCCTCAGACTTTCTAAAGTTTTAGAAATAAGAGGTCCCTGAAAAGTGACAGGGTCCTTAGCAGAGTGAAAAGGGGAATTTCATGAAAAGGTATAAAGGATATGGTGGTGGTTATGTGTCATGGAGTCAGTTCTGACTCATAGCGACCCTGTACAGGGTTTCTGAGGCTGTAAATCTTTACAGGAGCAGAAAGCCTCATCTTTCTCCCGCGGAATAGCTGCTAGTTTCTAACTGCTGACCTTAAGGTTCACAGCCCGATTCGTAACCACTACAATATAGACAACCTAAAATGGCAAGTATCTACCCATAAACTACTTTATGTATTTGTTCAACATATCAACAAATTGTCAAATATTTGTATGGTGCCATCTCTGGTTTCAACTGAGGCATTTTGTAGCTCAGGATTTTGTGTTATCAGGGCTTCTGTGGCAGCAGGAAGTTCCAAAAAGGCAGACAATTTGGGTTAAAGAAGCTTGGCAGAAAGTTTAAAAAAAATCCTAGCCAGTAGCCAGAGCTATTAGACTTCTGTTGATCACTGGGACTCAAAAGAAGTTCCTCTGTGAGAGTACAATAACCAAGGTCACAATGGAAGAACAACCTTGTCAGTATAATGACTCAGAGAATAATTAATTAGTAGTCCTTCTAACCATAAATCCCCCTACTTAGGACTAAAGACAGAGACCCAAATTGCCTGTGGTTTAAGTGACATCTAGTTGGTTCGGACTCATAGTGACTTTGTGTAGGATTTCCGAGGCTTTACATCTTGCAGGAGTAGAAAGCCTCATCTTTTTCTGTGGAGTCGCTGGACATTGTAGTTCACAGCCCGTTGCTTACCATATGGAGCCACTGCAGTGTCTGCCAAAATGGCCTACCAGATTCCAATTGACCCTACTACCTACTCTTTACATACTCTTGAATGTGGTCCCCATCATTTTTTATGCTCCCTGCTCCTTTTAATTACTAAATGTGGCAAGCTATGCCCAACCCCAACCCCTCAAAAAAAAAAAAAAGAAAAAAAAAGGGGGGGTGGGGGTGAGGGAACACATACTGTTTCTTTTACCTGGAAAATTCTTCCCCTGTGCTCCCTGGCTTTAATTGAGGTTTAAATCTCACTCAGGTTACTACTGTATTTTCACTTCTCTGGTGGGTTAAGCTTTGTACTGCTAATTCAAAAAGGTCAGCAGTCTGAACCTACCAGGCACTGCTTGATAAAAAGAAGTCTGTGTCTGTAAAAATTTACGTCATTGGAAGCCCTATGGGGACAGTTCTACTTTGTCTTGTAAGGTTGCTATGAGTCCATATCAACTCACTGACAAAGAATATGGGTTTGGGTTTGAGTACTAGATACTTTATACATTATCACATTTCTCTGTACATTTATTTGTAGAATTGTAATATAAGGGCTATATATTTCAAGCTTCATGTTTTTTTTCCTTGACTCAACATTTGATTAACAAATGAATGAATGTCTTCCAGAAAATGAATCAATATGGAAAAAAAAGTTTCCTCTCATTATAATCAAAGCCATGAAAATGAAAATGTTGAGGTACCATATTGATTGATTTTTTTCTGAGATTGTGGGTAGTTGTATTCCCCCACTTTATAATACATGATAGCAGTATCTGAAGCAACTAGTGATTGAAAGACAGCAGATAATGAACATCTGTCAATTTCATTATCATCTTCTTCCCAGCAAGTCTCCTCTCATGTCAAAGCATGCTATTCATTTAGGGAACATTCACTAGCCACCTATACAGTGTGAGTAAACCACAATTTTGTTTAACAATAAGAAAAAAACATAAAATTACTGTAGAGATGTTTTATTTAAAAACTTATGAAATATGTAGCACTATCAAAAGTACAAAAGCTTTTTCAGTTGTTTTCTCAAAGTGAAGAACTTTGAGATTTATTCAAATGTAGATTTCATTTTGTCACAGTGAAAAGCTTGATAAACCCTAGATCTACTGTGATGAAAATCGTGCTTTAAAAACCCAAGATTGAACAATGTTTGTTATATACTTCACAGTGTTGCACGTGATGTATAACAAGGTTTAGGGATGGTTAGGGGCTGAGCCCTTCCTTTCTTTCTGTGTCTTCATGAAAGAGAAAAGAGGTCAAAGACGAAGAGTTTTGACGCTAAGCCGATATGTGTTCAGATATTCATTTTACTTACTAGCTATGTAATGATGGAGAAAGTCACTTAACCTCTCTGCCTTTCTATTTCCTAGTCTGCAAACTGTAGCTACTTAAAGCTATCTTATAGGATTGTTGTTAGTATTAAGAGTTAACACATACTTCATTCTTACTATAAAGCACATGATGTTTTCAATAAATTATCATTACCATCATCATTTCATTACTTTGGCTTTGGAACTAGATGTTTATTATATTCTTTGGATTGTGAAATCATGCTCTGATCTAAATAGAAGGATCCTAGATTTATGTGGGATGATGGATGTTACCTGAAAATAGAATGTTTCAAAGCTTATTTATTCTACTCTCAAATTCAGATGTCATCAGATCTTTTTGATGTTCAATAAAAGATTTATAGCATCTCTGTTGTTGGCCTTCTTTCCTCTCATGTAATATTGATGGGAGGAGCCCTGACTGCCGCACAGTGGTAAGAGCTCACAGATGCTAACTCGCAGATGCTAATCCACTTCTGTAAAGGTTTACATCCTTGGAAACCGTATGGAGCAGTTCTACTGCATCGTACAAAGTCGCTATGAGTTAGAAATGACACCATGGCAATGAGCTTCGTTTTTGGTTGGATAAGCTGTTTACTTATCCAGAAATGTTTTTCTTCCCCCAATAGGTGGGCCACAGCGAGCCAGAGGAAGTGTTAATGGAAATATTAATGATGTTGAATTTGGAATAGCTTTCCTTAATGCTACAGTAACAGATAGTCCTAACTCTGATACTAGAATAATACATGCTGAAATTACCAATGTGCCTCGTAGTCTTGGTAAGTACCTTTGCTGATGAAACATAACTTATACATGCTTCTTCATCTTATTTCTACTTACCATTTTTGAGAGGATATTACTACTAAATGATCAGTATTCCTCAGCTCTGTGCCAGTGGTGAACTCTAAAAGACACTAATGCATTGGTATTTGTTTTATTATTATTCAAGTGTATTTAGGATACATCCTTATGGATGCAGTAATATAAAAAAATATAACAATAGACTGTAGGTATTTTGCTTTGTTACCTTATAGATCCTTTTTTGTTGTTTTGCTCTTTAAGGTCCAGCAATGAGAAAGATAGTTTCTATTTTAAATCCCATATATTGGACAACAGCAAAGGAAATAGGAGAAGCAGTCAACGGCTTTACCCTCACAAATGCAATCTTCAAGAGAGAAACCCAAGTAGAATTTGCAACTGGTTAGTGTCAGCAGAACTTTACATTATACTAGTATAAAATAAAAAAAAATTAAAAGTTGGTGGTTAAGAAAAATGTGTTTTATATTCCTGCAGAGAAATTTTCATGATTTTTTAATGAAATTTTGTTATAAATGTTTTAAAAACCATTTCCCATTGTCTTGTTAACTTAAACTGGCATGGACTCTATAAGAACCCATGTGTTTCCAAGTAGTATGGTGACTTTTATACCTGAAAAGTTTTTATATCCTCTTTTCTGTGTGTTTTCTCAGAAAGTCCTTAGACAGGGTCTTAGAAGTTAAAGGAGAGCAGAAAAATGAGTCAGTGCTCTAAATTAAAGGCTTTGTCAGTGAATCTGAAATTCTGATTCCTTATATTGTGTTCTTTGCAAAAATGAATTAATTAAAACAAATAAATCAAAAGGCTTTTTACTTTTATCCTCACTCTTAATTAATGTGCATTCACTGCTCATGAAGGAGCTCCAGTAGCGTAGTGGTTACGAGTCAGGCTGCCAACCTCAAGGTCAGCAGTTCAAAACTACCAGCAGTTCCACGGGAGAAAGATGAGGCATTCTGCTCCTGTATAGATTTACAACCTTGGAAACCCTGTACAGGGTCATTATGAGTTGGAACCGACTCCACGGTTACTTAACAATAACAACATCTGCTCATGACCCTTTTTATGTGCATAAAGGTTTATATAGACCTCCATTTCATGCCTTTTTAAAGGTGAGAGGTCAGCCCCTATGGAAATGACCCCTCAGGAAGAAGCGTTGAAAGAAGGCATATCTTTCACTAACATTTAATCAGCCCAGAAGACAAATGAGCCTTTTCGTGGTCATCAACTTTCCCAGATGATCCTTTGAAGCAGCAGAAAGAACAAAACCCTGTGGCTATTGATCCCTTCTCAAAAGCAATCCATTTGTGTAGCACTGCCTTACTATTGCTTGTGACTTTAATCATATGCATAATCATATGCTACATTTTTGCCACATAAGAACTATTAGGCCTAAATCTTTCATTTTGGTTGGGAGAATTAACTGTTAATTTAATTACCTTATTATCTGTGTTCATTGAAGTTTGAATTTAGAATGACATAGCTGAACTGCTATATAAAGTAAACCTGCTCTTTGTTTACACAAATTGTAATTTTTGTTGTTAAAATGAATGTATTGTAATCCCCAGGAGAGATCTTGCGGATGACACATATTGCCAGGGGCTTAGACTCTGATGGTGCTTTGCTGTTAGATATCATTGTGAGTGGCTATGTTCTGCAGCTTCAGTCACCTGCTGATGTCACTGTAAAGGTAAAATTTCAGGATAATATGCCTTCACATTGAGCACTGCTGGATGTGACAATAGACAAACAGTTGGTTGTTAATCAAAGGGTTTCAAATGTGAACTCAGGAATTACTCCACAGCAGAAAGATGTGTAAATATTACAGCCTTTAAGTCCTTATGCTATTTTTGTTGTTAACTGCTACAGGGTTGGTTCTAACCCATAGCAACCCTATAGGGTTTCCACAGAGCAGCTGGTGAGCTTGAACCACCGATCTTTCAGTTTGAACTGACTTTGCAGTCCAGCACATTAACCCAGCGCCATACCAGTTCTGTTCTATCCGACTGAATAGCTGTGAGTTGGAATCCACTCAGTGGCAGTGGGTTTCGTTGGTTTGGTCACTGTTTATTGGAGTATGAGTCTAAGAGCCATGGACAGATGGCAGAGAACTTATATAGCCTTCCTTGTACAATTTAGAGTAGATGTGTAAACTACAAGGTTAGAAATGCTATGTGGACTTTAAAAAAAAAAAAAAATCTTCAGGAAGAAAATAATTTACAAAGTTTTGTGGTGTTTTATTATCTTGCTTATCAAAACTAAGATAACTCCTATGTTGATTTAATCCACTTGTTTAATTTTCTGCAGACATGGAGAATACTAACCTTTCTATGAAAGCTTCTGTATACTATCCATAAAAAATATTTCCTAAATTAAAGAATGGTAACAATCACCCTTTCAGATCTTTTCTTTATTCTTCACTTACACTCTTGAGTTCCCTATTATAATTTGTAACAGTACAACAATGAAACTAGTATGGGTATAATAAAAATGTTCCAACTTTAAGTTATTTCCGGAACACTAATGGAATCCTGGTGTGGTGCTGTAGGATCACAAGGGCAGCAGTTCAAACCTACCAGCTGTTTCTTGGGCACCCTATACACGGTCGCTATGAGTTAGAACCAACTCAACAGATTTAACAACAACAACAATGTGTAGTCAGAGTCCTAGTGTGGTGCTGTAGGATAAGCACTGGACTTCTAATCACAAGGTCAGTCGTTCAAACCCACCAGCCACTCATTAGAAATTCTATACAGGGTTACCGTGAGTCAGACTGACTCAATGGCACTTAACAACAACAACATAGAGTCACAATTTTATTTAAAACTATGCATTTTTAGCCTCTAATGCCTTTTTCCCTACTCTTGCTATATTTCTTAGTACTTTCATAAAATTTATATTGTGAGCCTTGTTGACATGCAAATATTGTTCTCTTCAGGATTACACAGAGGACTACATTCAAACAGGTCCTGGGCAGTTGTATGCCTACTCAACCCGGTTGTTCAGCATTGATGGCATCAGCGTCCCATACACATGGAACCACACCATTTACTATGACCAGGCACGTGGAAGGATGCCTTTCTTGGTGGAAACACTTCATGCATCCTCTGTGGAATCTGACTACAACCAGTTAGAAGAGACTTTGGGTTTTAAAATACATGCTTCAATTTCTAAAGGTAATTTGCTTCAGGGAAGGCCATATCTTTATGCCATTTGTCCTGTATGGATGTATAAAAAGAAATGCACTGATACCATTCAAAAATAAGGATGTAAGAACTTATTCCCAACATAGTAACACTATGGTATTCTTGGTTCAGTGGTAGAATGTTCACTTCCATAAGGGAGACCAAGATTTGGTACCCAGCCAGTGTACCTCATGTGTGATCTTCACACCCCTACCTTTACCCCACCCCCATGATACTGAAAGGAGTCGCTGTGGTACTGTAGGGTAAGCACTCAACTGCACTGCACAATTGGTTAGAACCTCAAGCTCAGTGATTCAAACTCATCAGCCACTCTTTGGAAACTCTAGAAAGGATCACTATGGGTCAGAACCAACTTGATGGCAAATAACAACAGCAATGATACTGAACAGTTTTTAGTGCAGCTTCCAAAGTACGATGGACTAGGAAGAAAGGTCTGGGATCTACTTCCAAAAACCAGTCTATGAAAACCCTTTGGATCACAATGGTCTGATCCTCAGTGGTTCATGGGGGATGCACAGACCAGGCAGTAGTTCATTCTATTGTGCATGTGATTAATCTGAGTGGGGCCGACTCAGTGGCAGATAATATCAGGTTTTTCATGTGTGCTGTCTTTGTTTTTGGTAAGCAATTCCTATGGTAAAGTCAATCTGATTGGAGTTCTAGTATATTTAGTTTACTAATCTTCTTCTTAGGCTACTAATCTCCACCCCTCTGTCATTAGAGATTTGAATGTTGCTAAGAGTAGTGGTTACGAATTGGGCTGCTAACCTCAGGGTCAGCAGTTCGAAACTACCAGCTGTTCCACAGGAGAAAGATGAGGCTTTCTGCTCCTGTAAAGATTTACAGCCTTGAAAGCCTTGTAGAGGGTCGCTCTGAGTCGGAACTGACTCCACAGCACATAACAACAACAACAACAACATGATATTGAAAGGAGTTCTGGTATGGCATTGTGGGTTAGTGGGTTCGACTGAAAACTTGGTTTTAACCACAACATAGGTGGTTCAAGCTCACTAGTCACTCCTTGGAAGCCCTATACAGGGTCTCTACGGGTTGGAACTGACTTAACGACAATAGTCTTTTTCTATAATCCTGTTGTGGTGCTGTAAGACAAGCATTGGACTGCTAACCACATAATTGACAATTCAAACCCATCAGCCACTCCTCAGACCTTATTCAGAGTCACTGAGTTCAAACCAAAGGTTTGAAAGTCCAAATCCACCAACTTCTCCGCAGGAGAAAGATGAGGTTTTCTGCTTCAGTAAAGATTTACATCCTGAGAAATACTATACAGAGTCACTGTGAGTCAGAACCGACTCCACAGCACCTAACAAGAATCTCCTTCTATGCAGCATGGCAGGGTTGTTACTGTTTCGTTCCATTTATTTAGAGAGGATTTGAAATATAAAATCTGTCTGAAAGATTTCTCTTTGGGCTATAAAGTTTATTTGGTTTTGTTCTGAATTTTATATTTGCCAAGAGATTTTCTAAATTTCTGGAACATAATGTAAAGGTATGTCTTAGCCTAAACTAGTGAAGAAAACAATCTTTCATCCTTTAAAAGCTGCTTTTACAAATGGTGTCACAGTGATCAGAATTCCAACTGTCATTTCTTATTGCTCAAAATCATAATTTTTGATCTGCTTTCCATTTTTCAAGCATAGTTTTGCAGACGTTCAGCTCAGCATTCCCTTAAACTGTATAGTTCTTTGATGGGCCTGTCTCTTGAGATTTCAGTCAGAGAAGGCACCCCAGCTGTTAGCCTTCCACATTCTGTGGGGTTTTGATGCTGAGAGACACTTGCGAGTAGTTACATTTCAGACACTAAATGCTTGCATGACTCTGGGTTTTGAACTTAAAATCTCATGAATAAATTTAAAATGACTCACATTGGCCTAGTTGTTTTACTATGTGCTGGCTTTTTAAAATGGACCCAAATAGATTTTAAATAACTCCATTTGCTTTTATCATGCTCAATAGATAAAGTAAAATTTCATTTTCATTTACTCTTGCTTTTATCCATTATGATAATGACCGTTTGCCTCTTTAGTATGTACCATAACTGCTTCATCAAACTTAAGATCATAGTAAACTGGGAGTATACATACACAAGGTTTGAGTGTAGCCACATCTCCATCCATAACACAATGCCACCTTCTCATTTTACCATTGCAATATGTATTTATTTAGGTCACTTGCATAAAACAAACAAATTACTGGAATTAAGAGTATTTTTTTTTCATTACCAATTATATCTAGTTTTAAAGTAGTATCTCTATTTTTACGTTCTTTAGCAATCCACCCAATTAAAAAAGGCAAACAGGTATAATACATTGGCTAAAAATGGCATTGTATATGGAACTAATGAAAATTATTTTTGTAAAGCCATATATACTTTCTACCCAATCATGTAAGTCCTCCAAACCTGAAACTGCTTGAACATCATTATGGCATCTGTAAAGTTGTTGTTGGAAAACATGGGTCCCACATATTAGGGAAATACACTACAAAACTTTCATGCCATGCAGACGTCTGTGAATCGCTGTTGTTATTGTGCCCATATGCGAGATGTAATTCATATACACATACACATGATGTAATTCATAGAATCAGGATTTCTAGTGTGGAGCTGTAGGTTAAGCACAGGACTACTAACCAAAGGTTGGTGGTTCAAATTCATCTGAAGCCCCTTGGAAACACTATACAGGTTTTCTATAAGTTAATGGCACTTATCAACAACAGCAATTCACAGAATAATAGTACTGGAGTATGGATAAGTAGGGTAAGCACTGGACCATAAGGTCAGTGTGAACTGCAAGGTTGGCAGTCCAAACTCCCTAGCCGCTCCTTGGAAACCTTTACAGAGTCACTATGAGTGGAACAGTCTAGATGGCACTTAACAACAACATGTGCCCATCTATTGTTGACATTGTTCCTGTGAATTGCAAGACCTGTGTAGCTGCAATTTACTTTTAATTGACCACCAGGGGGCAAGCTTGCATTTTTGGTAGCTTAGCCCATAAATTCTTTCTCCTGCTGTTGGCCTAGGTTAGCACTATGGTTACAGTGCATTCAAGTCACTCTGAAAGCTTGATGAAAGTTCATACTTCTGACACCAGAGATTTTTGGTTCAGTACGGTCTAAGAATCTATATTCTTAACACAGTCCCAAGATAGGCAAAACAAGTCACAAATTTATGTAATAAAAATTTTAAATCTTTAAAATCAAATTATGTACTTTAAAATTATGGCTATAAAATGAATCTGTATTTTAAATATTAAGAGAAAATTTTCAGAATTTTTTTAATTGTTAAAATTAAGTTTATTTGTAGTTAAATTTATTTCAGTACAACAATTAATTTAACTACAAATTTTAGTTTTAAAAGTAAACTTCTTTATGGGAAAAGAAAACATAAAAGTGACAGAGTAAAATATGTACCAAGAAAAAATGTTTGCATCATATATTTTGGGCATCTATGAGTAACCATGTTTGGTAAGGTGGAGGGTCAGATAAAAAGAGGAAGACCCCCAACGAGATGGATTGGCCAAGTGGCATCATCTATGGACTCAAGCGTGGTAACAGTAGTGAGGTTGGCCCAGGATCAGGCAGTGTTTTGTTGTACTCTGCATAAGGTCACTACGAGTTGGTACCAACTCGATGGCATCTAACAACAACAACAACAAATGAGTAACCTGAATTCCTGGTGTGGCACTGTAGAATCAGCATTGGACTGCTAACCACAAGGTTGGTGGTTCAAACCCACCAGTGCCTCTTTGGAAACCTTATACAGGGTTGTGATGGATAAGAACTGACTCAGTGGCACTTAACAACAACAACATGACTACCTTTAATATATACAAGCTCTCACAAGCCAATAAGAAAAACCAAATACCCTAGTAGAAAATGCATAACAATTATGATTCACAAAAGAAATAAATATGAGAAATGAATATGATAAATTGTTGATCTTATTACTATACAAAGAAATGTGAATGTAAAGAAACACAACTTTTCAACTATCGCTGTCAGATTAAAAAGTATGAACTCTCCCAGTTTCAGAGTGTTAATGAGGAAATAAATTAACAGCGTTAGATACTAGTAGGCACTGAGCAAAAATTGGTTCAACTTTTCTGGAAAGCAGCATGTATGAGTGGACTTTAAAATCTTCAGTTACTTTTCAATTATTGCACTCTAGGACTCCATCCAAAGAAAAATAATAGAAATAGCCAAAATATCTAAAGGGACTTCAAAAGTTAGTGGAAAAATTCCATTATCTTTTCATTACATTTTCTCACCATATTTTGAAGCCCCCTTGTATGTCTAGGAAGTTTCATCCAGTGTAATTTATAATAGAAAAATAATTAAAACATGTCCTGGAAGTAGGGAATAAATATGTAAATTATGACACACCTATATGACAAACTTTTAAATAAGCAAAACTATAATTTTCAAGGAATATTTAACTCATTTATTTAACAAATACTTGTTTGAGTGTCTACCATGTAACAGATACTGTTCTAAATATCGACAATATAACATGCTTATACATTAATATAGGAGTCCTGGTGTGGTGCTGTGGGTTAATGCACCAGACTGCAAAGCCGTTTGAACTGCAAGGTTGGCAGCTCAAGCTCACCATTCACTCTTTGGAAACCCTATATAGGGTCGCTCTGGGTCGGAACCGAATTGATGGCCCTTAACAACAACAACAACAATACATTAATATAAACACTATAACTATAAACAAATCACAAAGGAGAATGTTCATGGCATAATGATAATAATTGAAAAGCTGTGTATAATATTACTAACACTTGAGTGATTAAAAGGTTATCATCACTTTTTTGTACTGGGTAAACACATGTTCTCAGAACTCTCCCTTGCCTAAGTCTGATTGTGGTGGAACAGATTTACACAGTAAGCTCCCTAAGTAATTTTTATGATCAGTAAAATTGTGCAATTATTAGTCGATGGAGTAAGATACAAACTAATCTTTCATGTACACATTTATAAAATTGATTGAAGGGAAAAACATTAAAATATCAACTACAGTCTGTCCCAGATGATGAGATTACAGAGTTTTACTTTATACTCTGTAAAGTTTCTACAATAATTATAATTACTATAACATAAATAAACAAGCAATTTTTTTATTACCTTCTCTTTATCTTGGATTGAAAACATGAGCCAATATAATCCAAAATGCCACACTTTAACTTAAAGTAAAACAATTCACAGTGAAGTATTTTGCATTTCATTATGTAAATATTTGGACCTGATTATGCTAAAAGAGTCAGAGAAACCCAAATATAGAGTACTGCTGTGATTTTTTTTTTCCAAAACATTGAGGCACTGTTGGTAAAGTGAGGAATTAGGCAAAGTACAACCAGCCATCAATTTATATGACAATTGCATTCCAGGAAAATTCATAGTCTATTTTGATTATGCAATAAGAAATATGCTTACGATATTTGGGTGATGAGTTCTAGAATTAGATCATTACAAACAGCTTTCTTACTTCCAGGGAAGTCATGTTGTACTATCTCATACATTAGATAACATGAAGTATTAGAAAACATGGTTTTCTTAGCCATGACTACCAAAGTATCTCCCAAAAGACTTCCCAAATGTTACCTAATGGGAGGTATGTATCCCATCAAGAACCAATAATATAAATAATAACTATATGATAGTAACTATTATGTTTATATGGCCCATTTTTTTTCCTATTGTATGCATAACCCAGTGCTCCACACATTAAAACTGATCAAATTAAGGAATGTCTGAATAAATGAAACAAATTATAATCACTGCCTGAGTTGTGGCTTAGATTTCAATGGTGGGAAGTCAAACAGATTTAGATCTTAATTCTCACTCCAGCCTATGTTAGCTCTTTGACCTTGGGCAAGTTACATAACCGGAAAACTCTATACACTAGAGCAGGGGCATTGGAAGGCTTAGTGAGAAAGTACACAAAGCTCATGGCACCTATGTAACAGGTAGTGACCATTCACTAATCACTTAAAATGTCCTAGACATTTCTGCTCCATCCATCCTATTCCTACTCCTTGGCATGTGCAGTAAGAAGCCATTGTTCTAAGGGCCATTTGCACACTCAGAATACTCTGGTTTTTTGTTGAAGTTTTTACACAGTTTATTGTTGTTGTGTTGTTAAGTGCTGTCAAGTTAGTCCTGACTCATAGCGACTCTGTATACGGTTTCCTAGGAGTGGCTGGTGAGTCTGAACCTTGCAGTTCAAACTGACTTTGTGGTCCAGTGCTTATTGTGAAGTTACCACAATTTAGTTGCTTAGAAATAGAGAATTTGTTGTTGTTGAGTGCCGTTGAGTCAGTTCCGACCCAAAGCGTCTCACTGACCCTGTGGTTCAAACTGACGCAGTCCAGAGCATTAACCCACAACGCCACACCAGAGAATAGTACTCAGCTTTTCATTCAAGGAAACCAAGTACACAAGAAGGCTTCAAAAAGTGCTTTATAAATAGAATGAAAAGGAAATGGAATTTTCCCACAAGGCTTTTCAAGCCCCCTCATATATGCAAGTAAGTAAAAAATTTGGTACAAAATCATAGAAATCTTTACTAAACAAAAATTTTTGAATATGAAGGGATTGTTTCTTGACATATCCTCCATCTAAGTCTCTCTAACCCTTCCCTAAAGAATTCTGCACTCTTCATTTTACACCATGGTAAAATGATAATTATGGTATCTATATGTTCCTTTGAAATGGCATATGAGGTTTGGGAACAAAAAGTAAGTCTGAAAGGCCAAGATCAGGACTGTGTAATGGGTGGAGGAAGGTTTATCAATGACATTCCCTAGGGTAGTCCTGGCTTCCCTCAAAGAATGAGCAAGTGCGCTGTGTTGGAAACAAATTATTCGGCACAACTTTCTTGGCTTTTTTCTTACCAATATAGTTTTCTATTAAAATTTTTTCATGACTGTCCTGTGTCCTTTGAGAAAACTCTATCAAGATTATCCCTTGTTGTTGTTGTTGTTGTTAAGTGCCATCGAGTCGGTTCTGACCCACAGCAACCCTGTATAGGATTTCCAAGGAGCAGCTGGTGAGCTTGAACTGTGGACTTTGCAGTTCAAACAGCTTTGCAGACTGGCGCATTATCCATATAACCTTTGAGCTGACCTTCCGCCTTGAATTTAATTGGGTCAGTTTTATTTGACCTTTAAATTGAGAGCACCCTAACAAAATCAAACTCACTGCCATTATGTCAATTCCAACACACAGCTACCCTGTATAGTGTCTGAGATTTACCTATATGTTGTTATTGTTAAGTACTGTGAAGTCGGTTCGAAATCATAGTGATCCTGTGCAGGATTTCCAAGGCTGTAAATCTTTACGGGAGCAGAAAGCCTTATCTTTCTCCCGCAGAACCTCTGGTAGTTTGGAACTGCTGACCTTGAGGTTGGCAGCCCGACTTGTAACCACTACGCTACCAGAGCTCCTTGAGACATATGTATGTATGTATATATATATATATACATATATATATAATATATATACACATATGTGTGTGTATATAGATAGATAGATAGATGTTCTTGTTGTTAAGTGCCATTGAGTCTATTCCAACTCATAGCCACCTTGTATGGGGTCTCCAAGGAGCAGCAGATGAGCTTGAAACACTGACCTTGCAGTTCAAACGTCTTTGCAGTCTGACACACATCAGCCCATAGTGCCACACCAGGATTCCATATGTGTATGTGTGTATATATATATATACACACACACATACATTTGGTGGTGGTGGTTATGTGCTGTGGAGTCGGTTCTGACTCAGAGCAACCCTGTACAGGGTCTCCAAGGCTGTAAATCTTTACTGGAGCAGAAAGCCTCATATTTCTCCCCCGGAACAGCTGGTAGTTTCAAACTGCTGACCCTAAGGTTAGCAGCCCGATTCATAACCACTACTCTACCAGAACTCCTTACACCTATATATAATAGTTTTATTAACAATTTCATGTCAAGCAATATTATAATCAGACTCTCTAAAGTAGAGAGAACTTAAAATGCCAAGGCTCTCTTTAAGACAAGAACCTAAATCAATAATTTAAACTTACATGGAGGTGGTGGTATGCTGTGGAATCTGTTCCGACTCATAGCAACACTATATAGGGTTCCCAAGGCTGTAAATCCTTACGGAAGCAGAAAGCCTCATCTTTCTCCAGCAAAACAGCCAGTAGTTTCAAAACTGCTGACCTTGAGGGTAGCAGCCCAACTCGTAACCACTATGCTGCCAGAACTCCTTTAAATATACATATATATATTCAGGATTCCTGGTGTGGCACTGTAGGATAAGCACTGAACTGCTCTTCAAAAACCCTATACAGGTTCACTGTGAGTCAGAACCAACTCATTGGCACTTAACAACATATGTATGTTCATGCATTTAAAATTGAAAATAAATCTAATATAATTTCTAAGATATTCCATATGAATTAAGCAAAATTGCCCTCAATAAAAATGAGAAATATATTATGTATTCGTGATTGTCTTGTAAGTTTATGTGTGTATACACACACACAGTACTTTGGTAACTTCTAAGAATTTTGTTTTAAATTTTTCCAGGCCAGTTATGTTTGGAAATTTTTCACTAATCTGCATAAAGAATTCAAGACTGAGTTGCATGACCTCTAAAAAAAGAATTCCCTAACGAACTCTGTTAACCTGTTTCTTCTTGTTAGCATTTTTAAAAATATCTAATTAATCTGTTCTAATAAAATTTGCCTGTTTTCACTTGCCTTGACTATATGGAAAGATAAAACGCTTGGTCACCCATGAGGGACCCATTCACTTGACGCTAAAAATAAAGGAGATCCATCAAAGTCAGGAGTTTCTTCATGGAGTTTCTATTTTTCACTGGAACAAATTATTTTAAGTTGCTTGAAAATAATGTTCCTGCTTCTAAAACAAAAGAGAGTAGTGATGCCTGAAAGAAGGGGACATCACTTGTGGTTGTGCCTAACATACACATTAATCTTAGATCCTTTTTAGTTATCACAGAAAATTTTTATTTGATTTATTTTGATGTAAGCAGCTTAAACAGGAAAGCTGTTTCCAGTGGCAGTTTACCAACAATAAGCAATCTCTGGACTGTGATTCATTTAGTTCTTAGTTAAGAAACATGAAATGTTTTTCCATTTCTGCTGGTTTTCACCGATTGCAATGTTGCGTCATATGTTCCATTATGGATTATTTTCCCTGGGGAGGCTGTACTGGAAAGAAACAAGGTGGTAACATTCTAATATATCACTTAACTTTACTTCCCTTTCTATGGTAGGAGATCGAAGTAATCAGTGCCCTTCTGGGTTTGCCCTAGTGGGACCCTTTTGTGCTGGTAAGTACAGGAATAAATGAGTTGTTATTATTCGTATTAAAATGTTAATAATGAATACCATTTAGTGGATACCCATTGCCATATATTTAGATATTTAATTATCACAACAAATAAATTTCCTATTTTATAGGTAAAAAAAATTGAGATATAAAGAAGTTAAGTAAGCTTCCTAAATTTACTCAGATACCAGTTGACAGAACTAGGTTCAAACTTAAATTAGATTGCAAAACCCAGGCTTTTTCATCTGGCCATAATTGACTATGTCAGGGATAGTGACCAAGAACAGAAGTGGAGTAAGACAATACAGGACTCATTCTAGCTACTTCAATGACATGAATGTGTGTGAATATCAAATCAGTGTATAATCAAAGAAACATATTCCATTTCAAATTTCTTCCTAAATACACATGTACTACTTCTTCCTTTGACCTTAACCACCTAGAGCTAGGTCAAACCTTGCAAACCTCCAGCTGACCAGACCACTGAAGATCTCAAATGCCAGTCACCACAAGTTTGGGGGACCCCACATCACCCTCACATTTAATCTGATGGATACAGATTTCCCACTACCCCCTCAAGATGCCAACCATAAACTCAGGGATTTGCAGGGTCCCCTCACTTCTGACTTAGTGACTCCCACTACCCCCTCAGGTTTATTAATTTACTAGAACAACTCACAACTCAGGAACTCACTCTACTTCTAAATAATAGTATAGAAAAGGGTTATAAATTAAAAGATACATGGGCCAAGGTCTGGGAGGATTTCTTATGTAGAGCATATCCCAAAACTGATGTACTACCTTCCCACGTGTATTGATTTCTCTCATCAACCCGGGCGTCCATGGAGCTCCCCTATCTCCAGAACCTTTATTGGTGATTCATTACATAGAACTAACTGACGTAATCAGTCCCTTTCCCTGATAGTGTGCTTAAATATCAGGTGATGGGTCTTATTAGCATGACTAGCTTCTACCCAACAAGTACCTCATGAACATAAAACATCAGGTGTCATTGGAGACCTCATCAAAGATACTCAGCAACTGGGGAAATTTCAAGGTTTTAGAAGTTGAAACCAAGGACAAAGATCAAATTCTTCAGGCAAGTTTAAATTTTTCACTCCACAGTTTGAGACAGCAATAATCCATTCCTACTTACTCTAAACCTAGAATTGCTCAATCATAAAATAGGCCAGGGTTATGGGCCTACAACTGATGACTAAACCAGCCTTGTGCCACCTAAGTGCCCATACAAAAGTGTCACAGATAGGGCAAACAGTCAAGTAAATGGTTTGAGGAGTTCAGGCTTTCAGATATGAAACTAGCAGGCAATATACTACAGTATAATAATAAAAGAGGTGGTCTTCAAAAAGTATTTTCTCCAAGTTCCAGTCCCAGCTCTGCCAAGAATGGCCTGTGTGACTTCGGCAATTTACTTCACCTTCTTAGTTCTCATTTTATGATTGAAAAATTAAAATCTTAATAAAAAGAAATACCTACCTCTTGGGAGTATTGTAAGGAATGAGGTAAAGCAGGTAAAGAGTTTACACTAATGTAAATGATTGATATACGCTAACTATCATCATTGTTTTAGTCATTCTTTTAGAAGATCCTCAAAACATCTAATCACTAGGAATCCCAAATTAATTTTTAGCGTTTCCATTTTGTAGCACATAAGCATTTTCTATTATATTTGATTCAATTTATTGTCCTTTAAAAGCAACTATTTTTACTGACTTTAGTGACTTGTGGAAAGGAGTCCTGGTGTAGCACTGTATAATAAACACTGGACTACTAACCAAAAAGTCAGAGGTTAGATCCTCCTTGAAAACCCTGTGCAGGGTTACTATGAGTCAAAAATGACTCCATGGCATTAACAACAATAATAGAAAGGTTAGGGCTTTACCTGCTGATGGGGACTCTGGGTTTTTCTTTCAGATGAAGATGAATGTGCAGAGCGGAGTCCCTGCTCACACATCTGCCACAATGCCATGGGAACCTATTATTGCTCCTGTCCTAAAGGCCTCACTATAGCAGTGGATGGAAGAACTTGTCAAGGTATTTGGAAAACTTAAATCAAATAGACACATTTAAGCCACAGCCAAGGCAGTCTCTGACCTAGGTAAAGAGTCCTAAACTGCTCCTCTTTTTGCCTACTCTCTCTACCCTCACCTTGTCAATAGGCAGAGCAGGTCTTCTTTGCATTGAGGGACTGCTGTTCATACACTGTCTCAAAATTAGACACTCAAAGAACAGGCGTGCTGTTGTGACTTTAAGGAAGCAGGCCAGAATACACCATCCTTTTTTTTTTTTAACAATGATGGAACTAAAAAAAAAAAAAAGAGAGAGAGAGAGCAATTATTAAGAAGGATGCTTGGTGATACAGTAGCACCCATTCGGCTGCTAATCAAAAAGTCAGCAGTGCAAACCCACAAGCAACTCCTCAAAAGATTTGTTCCCATAAAGATTTCAGTCTGGAAAACTCTCCGGGGCAGTTGTACTCTGTCACATAGGGTTGTTATGAGTCAGATTGACTTGATGGCACATTAAAGACACACACACAAAATTTTCTTTCATTAGACTTGTGTGAGTACCTCATTTTATAGGTGAAAAAAGGAAACTCATTCCCCTTCTGTATCCTAGGAAGCCCTGTTTAAAATGAAAAGGAGAGGAGCAGTAAAATGCAGGAGAGATGGAGTATCACTTTTATAGACTGTCTAGATGAATTGAGTACCTTCTGTACATTGTTTCATTTATTTCACTTTTAAAGTGATTCTCAGAGACTAGTATGTTGTTGTGAAGTGCCATCGAGTTGGTTCTGACCAACAGCAACCCAGTAGAGGGTTTCAGAGGATCAACTGGTAAGCTTGAACCACCGACCTTGCAGTTCAAATGGCTTTGCAGTCTGGCACATTAACCTACAACTCCACACCAGGACTCTAGAGACTAGTATGTTATCCTTATTTCACAGATGAGAAAGCTCAAATTTCAGAGAGATGCAACATTTTCTAAGGATACCTAATTAAATGGCATACTGGTATTGTGCTGTAGGATAAGCACTATACTGCTAATCACACCAGCCACTCCTTGGAAACCTTATACAGGGTTGCTGTGAGTTGGAATTGACTCGGCAGCACCTACAACAAAAATTCATAAGTAATCAGTCTATAAAGCTACCACACCATGCTGCTGTGTGCTTCTCCATTATTTAACCCAATATTTTTTCAAATGTTATCATTGTTTTTCTTATAACTGTTTTACAGCTGATTCATAACAGCTGAATGACTCCCTTTGTTACAGATATTGATGAGTGTGCTTTGGGTGGGCATGCCTGTCACGTGGGTCAGGATTGTGACAATACCATTGGATCCTATCGCTGTGTGGTCCATTGTGGAATTGGCTTTCGGAGAACTGCTGACGGGCTGAGTTGTCAAGGTATAAAAATGGACATCATTACTTTATCTTTCTTATAGTAATAGTTGAGACTGTTTGCCTCTTGATCATTTAAAGTAACTCAGGAAAATCCACCAATGAAGCTGGATAAAGAACAGAGTGGGTAGACATCAAACAACTGGGACTTGTATCCCTCAGTAGGATTAAATCAGAACTTCATTTTACATGTTTTATAGGTTATCTTTATTTTATAAATATTGGTAGCACAGTGGTTTTGAGTGCTAACATTTTGCTGTTGCCCTTTGAGAAAGATTATATAGCACTATTTAATAGAGTTTATTGCAATGTATAAGACAGTTAGAATTTTTATTGCAGTTTTTCATAGAGGTAAAAACAGTGGGTAAAAAATTGAATGCTATGAGTAGCAGAAAGAATGAATGAACTACAGTGCACCTACACTATTAACCATTACATGCATTATGGTGGTGGTGGTAGTTATATGCCGTGGAGTCGGTTCCAACTCACAGTGACCCTGCACAGGGGTTCCAAGGTTGTAAATCTTTATGGGAGCAGAAAGCCTCATCTTTCTCCCGCGGAGCAGCTGGCAGTTTCAAACTGCTGACCTTGCTGTTCACAGCCCGATTTGTAACCACTACACAACCAGAGCTCCTTATTATATGCATTATAGAATAGATTAAATCTCTATTGTTTGGCTTAGAAGAATTTATATGAGGTGCTGTTAAATGAGAAAATTAAATGTAGAAAAATGTATGTATTTCTAATTTTAACAGAGTTGCACATGGCATACAGGTTTCAGTAAAGGTTGCAGACTAAAACTGAGTAGGGAAAAAGTCCTGGTCATCTGCTTCTGAAAATTTGTGAATAAAACCTCATGGATCCCAACAGAACATTGTTCAACTTGTTTGATTTGGACACATCATCAGTTGTTAGCCAATAGCTAAAGAGGACATCATGTTTGGTGGATTGCCAGTGATTATGAGGAAGCTGCAAGTCTGGGCAATTTTCCATTCTGTTATAAAGGATACCTTGAATTAGAATCAACTTGACAGGAGCGGTCTTATGGATGTATATTTGTATGCATCTATCTATCAATCTATCTCTTAAAAGATGTTCTCTAAATATATTGAAACAAGATGGTGGATAGGGTAGAAGTGCAGTGAGGAGCTCCGTCAGCAGCAACACAGAATAAGCAGGCTCAGGGGATGGTCCCAGAACTCTGAACCATATATAAAGGAATATTTAGAAAGTTGGAAGGCGTACAGCCAGTGGAATTTGTAGCAGAAGCAAGAAATCCAGTGCTTTCTAATCCAAGGCACTCAGCTGCTTCCTGAGCAGCCATCTTGGGTGAGAACGAATGGGGAAAGATCAGAGCAGCCATGGACACCTGACAGAACCATGGAGATAAAGGTGTGGACATTCTTTGTTTTTTGTATTTGTTCATTGGTCTCGCACTATAGACACACCTCCACTCTGGTGACTAGAGGGGGAGCCTGAGTGAGTGGGCATTCCACTCCCACCTCCGGAGGGTTCTATTACACATGCGCACAGATCTCCTCAAAACTTAAAGGGACAGTTTTCACTTAAAACCAAATGGCTGTGCAAAACAGCTACAGCCAGCCCTGAACTGTTTATAACTAGGACATACGTAGTGGGACAGGCAGAATAAAAAGGAAACAGGCTGAAAAAATTAAATCCTGAGTTACGTTATAACAACCAACAATGGCATCTTGAAATTTCCCAGGAAGAAGAATGACAAGGGAATCCCTTCTCCTGATCACATCTACATGGAGGCAATCAGAAAGCATGAAAAATACCAAAGTACACACCCATCTAATTATTAAGGCAACAGCTAACTACTGCCCAAAAAACAGAAACAGATGACCATATCTGCACAGAAACGAGATAAAGTGACTAAGAAAATGAAAAGGAGGTAGACTTACACTCCATACTGGAAGATGGGCAGCCTTTGGAAACGCCTGAGAAGGAATTCAGAAAAATGATTACAAAATGTATCAAAACACTTTACAATGGAGTTGAGAAAAATAAGGAAGAAGTCAGGAAAGCACTACAGGAACAATCAAATAAGATAGATACAGCAT